ATTCACTAAGAAAATGTGTTGATAAACTGCATAGAAATGAGCATGTAAACCAGAAAGGTTTGGAAGAATGTGCATGTAGGCAAAACCCATTTGACTAATTATTTTCTAATTAATTCATTTGTGTATAATAAACACACCATGTGTCTGCAAAAAGAGTGATGTACATTAGCTCACTGGTTGATGTTAAATACTCATCTTAGAAGATCTGGGGCTGGGTGCATTGTCTCACACTTGTAATCCTAGCTACTCAGGAGGCAGAGATTGGGAAGGTTGGTTCAAGATCTAACCTGGCAAAAAATTGGCAAGATCCCATCTCAACAAATAAGCCAAGCATGGTAATGCATGAAGAGCTTAGGTAGGAGGATTTTGGTCTGAGGATGGCCCTGGGCAAAAATGTGGGACCCTAGCTGAAAAATAACTAAAGCATATAGGGCTGGGGTGTGGCTCAAGTGATAAGAGTATCTGCTTAGTAAGCATGAGTTCAAACCAACTGGTGCCAAAAATAAATAGATCAATGGATAGGGATAGATAGATAGATAGATATTCATCTTGGAAACTATATATTGGTAAAATATATTGTAAATAATAGACTTCTCTGCAATATGTTTTGAGGTTTTGTTTTGTTTAGGGTTCTCTATGGTTCTACTTGCTAATTTGTTGACATATTTTCTGTTCTGGTAAAAAGTGGAAAAAACAAGAAGACTGAGTGGTCTATAAGGACCATTCTAACTCTAAACTCATTTATTTTCAGTGAACAAGAGAGACCAGGTAAACACCCATTATAAGTACAAGATAAAATGGCAAGCTGGTCACTGGTGGCTCACACCTGTAATCCTAGCTACTTAGGAAGCTTAGATCAGGAGGATCGTGGTTTGAGACCAACCCAGACAAATAGTTCGTGAGACTCCAGCTCCAAAATAACTAGAGCAAAATGGACCACAGCTGTGACTCAAGCGGTAGAGCACCTGCTTTGTAAGTGTGAAGCTCCTAGCCCCATCAACAAAAGAAAACAAAAAACCCCAGCAAATATTGCTTTTATTGACAATTTATTTGAAGCACTATCCTCAAAAAAAGAACAAGTCAAGAATACTCTGTATTACTGATTTCATTAAACATCAGTTTAAAGACCTAGACCTCTAATAATTAAGGCAATGAAATTGAGGTATAAATGTTGAAAGAAAAACCCATGACTGTCACTATTTTAAAGAATTTATGATTATCTATTTAGAAAATTTTTTTAAATTATGAAAATTGATGAGGGAATTTAATAAGGTTGTTAGATACAAAGCAAATATACTAATGTCAGCAGCTTTCTCACACACCAGAAATAGCAAGTTGAAGCCAGTCATGGTGAGGCATGCCTGTAATCCCAGCACTCAGAAGGCTGTGGTAGGCGTATCATAAGCTTGAAGACAGCCTGGGCTACATAGCAAGTTTGAGGTCAGCTTGGCCTACATAGCAGGATCCTGTCTCAAAAAACAAAAATTAAAAATGTAATGGGAATAAATGATCTCATTTCCAATTCAAATTACACAGAAACTTTGAAATGTATAGGAGTAAATCTACCAGAAATGCTTTGCATAAAGAAAACTGCAAAACTTTACTGAAAGATATAGCTGGGGAGATTTGGATAAATAGATATCCAAGTTCCCAGTTTGGAAAAATCAGTATTGTGAGACTGTCACATCTTTCTAAATTAACCCCAAATTCAGTGCTATCCCAAACAAAACAGCAGTAGGATTTTTAAAAATATAACTTGACACTGATTGCAAGGTTCATTTAGCAGTGAAAATTGTGTATCAATCATCACAAATATTTTTTAAAAGATTATCAGTAAGAATCATGCTTTACCTTTTGTCAAGACACACTCAAAAGATCCAGGAATTAAAACAGTATCGCATTGGACTAGAAAGACAAACAAGTCAGTAGGAGAATATTTTAAAATCAAACCAGAGATCTCCTGTTCTGTTCTCCCTACCATCCCAGCTCATTCCCAACTTGATGAACCCAGCCTCCTAGTTGATGACAGCCAGACTGGTCTAGAATCAAGTCAATTTTTTGGGATATCATGAGGCAATTGCTCCTCACTTTTTACCAGTCTTTTATTTGAGCAGCACCACTGTGTTTTATGGACTGTGATTTGTTATACTAACTTGAGCCTAGTAATGGGGGAAGCAGTAGTCCTCAGCGCTACCTAGGCTCAGGTTATATCTTTTACACATAAATCACATTCTGCCCTTTTAGGATATAGTTTTTGTCTCTGGGGAACAAATCATTCCATCTCCCAAGCCTTCCTTAGAGTGATGCTAAACTGATTGTGGCACCAACTTATGCTGGTATTAAAAATGATATATACTATTGCTAAGCGAACAAGGGGTAGGATTCATATAGTGGAGTTTTAGTGGAAACCTTTAATTCCACTTGGTGAGAGTTCTTTGTTTATTTGCTTGTCTGTAGTTCTGCTTGTTTTTTTAATGTCCATGTAGAGTGGATACTGTAGGGAAAAAGTAATGAGTGCTTGAATAAAGGTAGTGGCAGTAAGGGGATGTGAGAAATTCGGTGGGGGGGGAGTGTGGAGGGAACTATAGGCTTTGTTAATTGTGCAGAGGTAAAGGAGAAGGAGGCATTGTCAACATTAGCTCATAAAAGGTGGATCAAATTCCCGGCTGCAGTGGTCAAGCAGGTTTGGCATGCTGGGGCAATTGGTAGACTATGTTTAAGGAAGGAAAGCTTGATGAGAAACCATAGGGTCATAGACTAAGTCCATATTAGGTCATAGCAAATAAAGACTTTATAAGCAAAAGATTGTGGTTCAGAATGTTAGACTGAGGACAGAAACCTTTGTTTTCTGTCCGATTGAATCCAGTGCTTTAGTCTGGCATTCAGAAATAATTATTAATTGGTCATGTCTTACCTTGTTTTCCATGAATGCAAGTCCTTTGCTCCAGGAAGGCCATTACCACCTTTCAAGTATGCTGGATAAACCTAGAGTCTCTGTAGCTCTTCCTAATGTTAAAATTTGTAATTTCTTCTCACCACTGCCTTTTTATTAATCTCAACCTATAGTGCTTTTTCCTCTATTTGCTTTCATTTGACACATTCCTTTCCTCCGTGTTTATACCCTTTGTTTCTCCAACCATACAGATTGTATATTCCTTAAAGGCAAAGGCCATAAATTCCATTTATTATACATGCCATTAAAATGTAGGGAATGAAGCTAAGGATGTATTCCAGTGAGAGAGCCCTTACCTAGTAGCATGCTCAAGGCCCTGGGTTTCATCCCTAGCACTTAAAAAAAAAAAGCCTGAAACATTCTTTTAGTAGTGTTGAAAACTTTCTGATTGTTTTGTTATGACTTTGTAAGATATTAGGTACTTAAATAATTTTAATAGTTTGTACACAATCCACTTTATGACTTAATAGACAAAAGTAGAGCCAATAAAGATAATAAGCTTGTCATCCTAAATAAGAACTTTTCAGCTGGGCACCATGTCTCACTCTTGTAATCCCATCTGCCTGGGAGGCAGAGTTAGGAGGACTGAAAGTTCCATGCCAGTCCAGACAAAGTTACGAAGACCCTATCTCAACAAATACAAAATTCAAAGGACTACAGCCCTGGCTCGAGTGTAGAGCACTTGCCTACCATGCAAGAGTTCCTCTGTTCAATCCCCAGTACTGAAAAAACAAAGATTTTTCTAATATAAAATAGATGAAATATGTAGAAACATACTTATGGGTTGTTGGTAGGTATGTGAATAATTACGAGCTTCCTAGGGGCATCTTGATAACGAATTTGACCAAAAGTTTTGTTTGACCAATCAGTTTTGCTCCTAGGAGTTTAGCCCAAGGAACTCTTTGTGGATATTTTAAAATATTTTCAAGTCTGATTATTATGTCATTGTGTTATAATTGTAAAAGACTAGAAATCACTTGAATATCCAACTGTATGGAATTGCTTGTTATGTTTTGTTACAAAAATTTACTATGGACTAATATAGTTTCTAAAAATGTCCTTTTATTAGAATAGTTATACAAGAAATGGCACCAATATGCTAATAGTAAAAAACAATTAGATTACTGAATAGTGTGTATAATATTAATTTTATTTGTTGCCAAAAAGGAAGCAGAACAGTAATGTCTATTTTAAATGCTATCTTCCAGTTGTACAGTAACAACAAAATATTTAGTGAAACAGGAAGAAGACCCTGATATGTTGATAAGTACAAAAGATAATATTATTGAATAGCATGTATGGTTTAATTCCATTTCTTTTGTCAAAAACAATACGAAGTTGAATCTATGAATTTAAAAAATTCTCTTTTAAATTATATGCAATAGTTATGCATTCTTTTGGTAATTAGGAAAATCTTTTTATTAACAATGGAAAATTAATTATCTATAAGGAAAGGTCTTGAAGGAAAGCTATGAATCTTCACTCTACCCAAAATTCAAAGTGACCATTGGTGACTAACTGTATTATAGTGATCTAGAATTTGCAATTTCTGTTCTAATCTAAACAGCACTACTACATGGTTTCTTTAGTGGTAGTCATGTGCTGCCTGTCAGGGTTTTAGTATCTTCTTTTAGATAATTAATGGACCTTAGTGAATAGACTTCAAATCAAATAAATAAGCCTGTAAAGTGCATAGTAAGCATTCAGCAATTGCTAGTGTTCCATGTAAAGTTACTGCTAGTTAGGTAATCCACTGTTCTCTGCAACTAAAAGAAGAAATGAATAGCTGTCCCCTTCACAAGTCACAAATTCTTCAAAGTGCCACTTAAAAACTCTTCAGCCTCTAATCATAGGCTCTTTCAAGCATACATTCATTTATTGATGTGAGGAATTTGTCTATAAAATGATTCAAGTTTCTCCAAAAGACTGAATGTTTTATCACTTTTTCACTTACTTGGTTAATTTATCTTTAATGTAATTAAAAATTTTTATCTTCTAAAAGGAGTTGTTTCACACAATCCAAGTTTACTTTTTTTCTTAACTTTAGGTTGCTATTGGTAGAACAGACGTTGAAGACTTAGACCTTTATGCTACATCTCGGGAGAGACGATTTCGTTTATTTGCTTCTATAGAATGTGAAGGGCAGTTATTCATGACTCCATATGATTTTATTTTGGCTGTTACAACAGATGAGCCCAAATGTAAGTAAGATTTTTAAATTATCCTAATAATTTTGTCTTTATTATCTTAATAATTTTCAGAAGCCTCCAAAGATAGTGTTGAAAGAGTAGAGAGTACTAAAGGTTTCTGGCCCGATAACTTGGATGGATGGCAGTAGGAATGGGTTTTGAGGAGAACAATCACTGTTTCAATTTTGGAATGATGTAGTTAAGATGGATTGCATATCTATGAGGTGAAGCAATTAGACCTGTCGCTTATGAAATCACTGAAAGATAGCTCACGAAAAACCAATGTGCCTAATAATCAGTTGTTTGACGGATATTTGCTTGAAATCTGTCACACAAAAACCTGACTAGAGCAATTGCAGTCATTTTTCTTTCTCCACAGGGGTGGGTTATGGCAAAACCAAACTTTAAAATAAATCCTCTATAATTTGTCATGTTAGCTCCTTTGCCAGACTAACTCGTAATGAATTAATTTTTGATGCTTTTTATTATTTCCATTGAAGATCAAAGGAAAAGTCTGGGTAGACATATTTGGGATTCATCTGAATGTGGTTAGTAATTAATGTGTATGAATGATTTGTCTAGGGAAACAGTATAGTATAATATAGATGACCAAAGACCAATCCTTGAGGAATTCTTACATTTTAAAGAATGAACACACAAACACATAAGCTCACAGGCTAAGTTTCAAAAGAAGATGAAGGAGTGTCCAGAGACGTGGAAAGAAAAGAGTATAGAGTCATAGAAGCCAGAGAAAATGGTCAGGATGGCGAAGGGCATAAAATGTTACTGAGCAGTCAAGTTAGAGGAGGACAGAAAAATGTCTACTAGATTTAGTAATATGAAATCTTTAACAATGATGTTTGTTTGTTTGTTTGTTTGTTTTGCCAGTCCTGGGGTTTGAATTCAGGGCCTCACACTTGTTAGGCAAGCACTCCTCCACTTGAGCCAGGACCCAAGCTCTTTTTGGCTTTTTAGTTATTTTTCAGGTGGAGTCACACTTTGGCCCAGGTGACCTGAGCCACAATCCTCCTACATACATTTCCCCACTTAACTGGGATTACATTTGTGCCCTCCAAGCTCTATTTGTTTGTTTAGATGAGGTTTCATTAACTTTTTGCTCAGTCTGGCCAGGAACCTCTATCCTCCTGATCTCTGCCACCCAAGTAGCTGGGATTCACATTATGTGAGCCACTGTGCTTGGCCTGTTTTACCTTTTTAAATAAAACCTAAAATGTAAATTTCTTTTCTAGAACTAGTGGTAGTAATTGATTACTTTCATATAGAATCAAGAATTATTTTAGAGTTTTAAAAATACATCATTTAAAAAAATATTTCAGATGTCAACTTACAGTTTAAGAAATAAAACATTTCCAGTAGAATTAAGTCCCTCTCAACTTAAGTTATATTTATAGTATGCTAACTTCATATGAAATAAGGAATTTAGAAAGTCATTAAACCCTTTGTAGAACAATCTTAACAGCTCTTTAATCTTTATTTTTAAAAAAGCTAATAATATTGAACATGGTAAATTTCCGGCAGAATCAACATGTCTTTTGTGAATAATTTACCATGGAAATCTCATAAACCCTACAAAACTCAAGAGTATGTCTAACTTCCTCTTTTGATAAATAACTTCTGAGCATTGCATAAGAGCATGTACATGTACTTTTGTAGCATTTATTTCTTTCTGTTCTTACTGCTATATTTCAAGAGCAGCAGAATCATAAATAACATTCACAATGTTCTGTTCATTGTTGAAAGTGTTGCTATGAAATATGTGCAATATTACAGTTAAGATTACATGCTAGATTCTAATTTAAGTGAATTTAGTCACTTTTGATTACCTATTTGTATAAACTATCTGAGTAAAGAAAATATGTTATGACATAGAGGTAAAAATCTATCTCCATGAAGATTATTTTCCAAATTTTAGCAAATTGTTTCTTTCCTTTTGATCTTATAACAAGCTATTATATTGCCTTAAAAAGAGAGTTGCATAGAAAAAAGTGCCTTTCTTATAATTTTACAAAAATGGCCCCATTGCCATGTAGAAAAATAATTGGTTGTCATTATTGTAATGTAGTTGAAATAGTTACTAGTTACCAATTTTTCTAATATGGCTGTGTTATAGGATTTAATCAGATATCAACCTGGAGGATATTTCTTATATAGGCATTAGAACTTTACAGTGTTTAAATCTGAACAAAAGAAACAGTAATACTGACAGCACATTTGTCTCAACATTGTGCAATTTCCAGTGTTTGAGATTTTGGTGGTTCTAAAGAGGAATTAGATAAAAATAATGATCCCAGTCTTTTTATTCAACAATAATGCTCTTGCTCCAAGATGCTTCTAGAGCAGTTGTATGGGAGAAGAATAAAAAATGGGACAAGAATTCCATTTCACTTCACCAGAAATCCCTGTCATCTCTTTATCTCCTTCATCCTAGATAGACCTCACCTGTGAATTATTTTTAGGAATGCTAATATATCATATTCCAGCATGAATATTTAAAAAATATTAGCATTTGTGTTTTTAATCCCACAGGATATTTACTGTGGAATATGTTAACTTACTTTATAAATCCAGAAAGCCAAATTAAGATAGTATGGTTATGGGAAAGTGTTTGCTATTCTACTGATATTACTTATTATAATAGCTTATAGTATAGGAAACATAGGTAACATAAAAAGGCCATATCTTAGATTCAAATGTTGAGGTTAAAAATACTTTGCTTTTTGGACATTAAAGCTTGATTTTGAGTTATGGTGGGTTGTTACTGAATAGGGATACACATTATGTAAAGTATTTATTATCTAATTATTTTATATTTATTGTAGTTGCTAATACGTGGAAGTCCTTTTCCAAACAGGTAAGTTAAAACTCTTGGTATACATATGCACACGCACAGTTTTTGGGTTTTTTTTTCCAAATTAAAAATCACATTGTTACACTAGTTTTTAGCCTCCAGATTGTCAGAAAATAAAAAGGTGGACAATTCCAAGGACTGGTGAAAACATAGATCAATGGTAAGTGACATGTGCAAATGTAAATTGGCATGCCTACTTTGAAAAACAATTAGGCTATAACCACTAAAATTGAAGATATGCATACCTTTTACCAAGCAATTCCATGCCTAGGTTTAAATTCTACATTTGTGGGGCTGGCATGGTGGTTCAAACAGTAAGCACCTGCCTAGCAAGTGTGAGGCCGTGAATTCAAACTCCAGTACCACAAAAAAAAAGACAAAACTACAACTGTATATGCACATGTACCTACCTAGTAAAGTTAAGCGAATATACTCAATGACCCAGTAATTTCACACAAGTGTTTATACCTAGAGAAACCATCAGTTATGTGAAGAAGAGATTCGCAAGAATTTCCATAGATTGTTCATGATGTCCAAAAGAGCTATAGTGCATCATGAGTAGACATAAATTTTGATACGTTCATATAATAAGTACTATATAACAGTGAGAAATTCATTGTAGCAATGCTTTAACCACATGAATCTCAGTGAAATATAATAGTGAACAAAATAAGCAATTTACAAAAGTATAAAGTATAATTCTATCCATATAAAATCCAAAATAGGGAAAATAAGACCACATTATGCAATATGATGAGAAAAAATAAGAGAGAAAGACTCTAAGCTTTGGAATAGTGCCAAAGAATATGATTGAGATGAAAACGTAAAAACACATAGTTTTCAAATTTACTCAGATTCAGTAAAAGTTTAGCAAGGTGCCTTGTGTGGTGACGCACACCTGTTATCCTAGCTACTTGGAAGTTAAAGATTAGGAGTATGGTTTGAGACCAACCCTGTGCAAAAAGTTCACATGACTCTGTCTCAACCAATAAGAGGATCATTGTCCAGGCTGACCCAAGCATAAAATGAGATCCTATTTCAAAATAAAGTAAAAAAGGCTGGAGTTGTGGCTCAAATGATAGAGCACCTGCCTAGAAAATATAAGGTCCTAAATTCATACCCTAGTACCTCCCAAAAAAAGTTTAGTAAAATTATTGCTGGGTATAATATCAATGAACTAAAATTAATAACAAATGCCAAACAAGATACACCTCACAATAGTAATAAGAACTATTGTGTTCTTAAGAGTATACTTAACAGAAGGTATGCAAAATATTGTTAAACTATATATACATACATGTATTTTTTGTTGGAAGGACTGGGGTTTGAATTTAGGGCTTCACACTTACAAAGCAAGTGCTCTACCACTTGAACCACTACACAAGTCCAGTTTGCTCTGGTTAATTTGGTGATGGGGTCTTGTGAATTATTTGCTCAGGCTGGCCTCGAACCACAATCCTCCTGATCTCAGCTTCCCAAGTAGCTAGGATTACTTGCCTGAGCCACTGGCACCTGGCTAAATTATATTTTTAAAAGACACGAGTAAATAGTGTATAATTTTCATGGGTGATAATAAGATATTTGATCTTATTATCTAGTTTCCTCCAGATTTATCCATAAATTTAGTAAAACCCTAATAAAGTTCCAGCAGAATTGATTTTGGACTTAATTTTTAGAGTTCACTTTGGTGAGTAAGGACCCTAGAATATTTAGAATAGTTTTGAAAAGGAAAGAAGAAAAAGAACCATTGCAATGTGAAAATTGGATCTGTGACATGCTAAGATTGATTGTAGAGCTATAATTAAAATAGTATTATGTTGTTGCAATAATTTTTAAAAAAATTAAACCAAGACAATAGAATATTGAATCCAGGTACAGATCTAGGCATTTGTGGGAGGATCATCACTGGAGGAAAGATAGACCTCTCAATCATAGGTGCTAGAATAATAGACTTTCCATATGGGGGTAAATAAAATTAATCCTCAATTCTGCCACCATATACAAATGCTAATTTCAGATGCATTATGTATTTATTTGTGAGAAAAATCTCAAAAGATTGAAAGCAAGAAATGAGAAACATGAGAGTTTTTTTTAAATCAAGACACATAAAACAAACTCAAAGGAAATTATTAACAAATTTTATTAAATTAAATATTAAATATTAAAAGATGTCTGATGCATGTGAGAATATATTTACTTGCAACTTACTGAAAAGATAACTTAAAAAGAGTATGTATTGACCTTCTGTAAATGCATATTAGAAGATAACCAGCTCAAAATAGAAATAAATGGACAAGCATAGCTAGAATACTCAGTAAATCCACATAAAGTCATTCATCCTCACTAGTAGCAGGGACGTGCAAGTCATTCCAGTGATACTATACTGTTTTGCACCCACCAGATTGTTAGTTTACAGAAGCCTGTCAATAATTGGCCAGGAAGGAACCAGGTGAAAAAATAAATGATATATTCACTTTTGAGAGAAATTGAGCAATACCAAATAAAATTGAAAATGCATACCAGAAATCCTATTTCTGATTGTGTGTGCTAGAGAAAAGTTTGTGTGTTTACACCAGAAATCCTATTCATGCTTCCTGATGCATTGTTTGGAATGGCAAAAATTTAGAAACACTATAAATGGTACTCATTAGGTAAATGAATAAAAGAATGGTAAAATGGACATACCAAGGATAAATATGGTAATACAGAGTTAAAAGTGAATAAATGTATTCACATTTACATTTAGAGCTATGTGTATTAAGCTCTAGACCTAGAAAACATAAGGTTGAACCAAACACCGATTTTTAAAATGACATAGACTAACAGTTCTTTAAATGCAAAGACCTTTTCAAGGACATAAGAAGTCAAAATTACTTTTATCATAATACTCTCATTCTCTCACAGGTGTACAGCAGAATTTTCTAGAGGCTGCATGATGAATAATGATGTTATTGCTCTGATATATAATGGAATGTGTGTTTATGCATTCCTATATTTAAATTTTTCTTATTTTTACTGTCGAATAAAGTAAACATTGATAGATATAATCCATGTAAACATCACTTTTGGATTTATAGTAGTTTAAAGAGTGTAAATAATTAAATTTCAGAACTGCTGTTATAAACAACTGCCATAATATAATTTCTGTTTATATGGCAATGAAGAATATTTGAGCTGGGCACAGTAGCTCATGCCTGTAATCCTAGCTACTTGAGAGGCTGGGATCAGGAGAATGGTGGTTTGAGAGCAGCCCAGGAAAATAGTTCGCAAGAACCCCATCTCCAAAATAATCAGGCAAAATGGACTGGAGGTGTAGTTCAAGAAGTAGAGCACCTACTTTGCAAGCATGAAGCCCTGAGTTCAAACTCCAGGGTCACCAAAAAAAAAAAAAAGATAGTAAAAAGAAAAAAGAACATTTGAAAGGAAAATATGCCCATGATATATGAAGTACAACAATAAAATACTATATAAAATGCCTAACTGGAAAATTAGACTAAAAGAATGTTGTCTTTGGGTTATAATTATTTTTCCATATTAATAGAGGTGGTGAACTTGTTCAAAGTACACTTTTCATCATGGAGTTATTGCAGTGAACCCCCCTCCTTGTACTATTAATGTATGTTAATAAAAAAAGACTACAAAATATTTTTTCTTTTCTGAATGTACTGATTTACCTGTAATATATATGTATTGACTATAATTTTTTAAAACTGTACTTAAGAAAATTATAGAAATCCTTTAAAAAGCATTTATAACTTTACTAAAATGAATGTTAGTTCAATAAATATTTATTTGGTAGCTACTTGCAATATTGCAATATAATTCTTACAGTGACCACCAGAGTTACTGTCAGATTCCACTAGCTTAAGGGTATATTACCCAAAAGACTACACTTATTACAGATGCTTACTACAAATTCAGAGGACTCCAGGCTACCTCACTACTACAAATCCAGGTCTCACAACTCCCCCTAGATTTAGATTTATAATTTATAATTTGCTAGAGTGACTCATAGAACTCAGGAAAATGCTATCTATACTTATGATTATAGGTTTTTTTTTTAAATAAAGGATACATATTAAGACCAGTGGAATAAAGAGAAAAAGAGTTAGGTCTGGGAAGGCTAGACAAAGAACCCTTTTGCCCTCCCCTTGTGAAATCAGGGTACGCCACCCTCCTAGCATGTCAATGTGGTTTATCAACCCAAAAATTCCATTAAACTTGGTGTCCAGAATTTTTCTTGGGGTTTTACTTCCTAGACATGAGTAATTTAAATCATTGGCCATGTGATTTAATTCATTCTGTAGTCCCTTTGCTCTAAGAGGTCGAGCTGTTTTTTTCTGGTGAACAGGCACAATCCTGAGTAACTTCCTTTGCATAAATTCAAGTGTGATCCAAGGATTTAGAGTCTCCCTCTGAAGAGCCAGGGCAAAGGCCAGTCAAATTCTTTTCATACAGCATTGCTACATATAAGACGAAGATGGGCACTTAGAGTGAGGAGAGAGATTACCAGTGTGAATGGAAATAAAAAGATTTTAACAAATTTTAAAAGTTAGCAGAAAAAATAAGGTCACTGTGTCTATTGGATGATCTAGACCAGGAGAAAAAAGCTACTTGGAGTCAGTAAGGATCTTTCTTTGTCATTTACTAGCCCTGTGATTAACCTGGGTGAGTTATTTACCAGTTTAAGTCTCAGTAAAGTATGCATAATGAGGGTTGTTTTTAAAAATTAAATGTGGTATTGCATGAGCCCATTGCTAATTACATAGAGGGCACTCAATCAGAGATAGGGTTTTTTTTTGTTTTTCATTCTTAAATTCAAAAAGAATTTAAGGTAGAACAGATGAGATTGAAAGACATGAACAGTTAAAATGGGAAAATTACTACATAAAAATCACTACATAGAGTAAAACTTTAAAAATCTCTTACTGTAAGAAAAATGTTTTGAGTTTTCTTTTGTCTCAACAGTTAAGTATCCCAGCCTCTATCATTATTTGTATGATATACCTGTATGTCATTCCTACCCTATCACACACTACTTACACCTGGTGGCATGTGTTCCCTACATTATAGGCATACCATCATTAAGGAAATGAATACAAGAATCCACACATGGGCTCCAGGGAGTCCATAAATCCCCTAAAAATGCCTTTGGCCCTCTAGAGATTCCCTTAGTTTCCTGATAGGCAGCTTTGCAATTTAACAAAGATTGTGTATAAGTATCACAGAACATTTTAAAGTACAGCTGCATTGGGAAGAGTTTGTTTGAAGTTTCTCAAGCTTGAATGTGCACAAAAGTCACCTGCAGATCTTGTAAAAAAAAAAAAAAAAATGCAGACCCTGATTGAGTATGTCTGGAATGGGAACTGAGATTCTGCATTTCTGTAAGCATCCAGGTGACACCAAATTGTTGGGAAGCATAATTTGAGCAGTAGACATCAGATCAAGTTATCTTACCAAATTCTTTGGTCAGTTTACTTCATAAAATTATGAAGAAAATTACAGCTCCTTATAATTATAGCTCTCAGTTATTTTAGAGTATACACAGTTAATTCATAATTTTTAGTATATGAGCAGTGACTCTAATTTTTAAATTCTCCAGTAGTTTTCCACCAGCAGTGATAACTTGATTTTTAAAAAGGTGAAAAAGCAGCAGTTGAAGTCTGTTCTTTATTGAATATTTAAGATGAGAAAAAAATAAATAAAAGTGCTCATAGTAACTAAGTATTTCTGTCATTCAACTTCATCTAATGTCATTATTCTTTGAGCCACCATTAAAATACTTTTACTGCTTGCTGGCATATTCCTTTCTTCAACTTAGAGTGTCCTAAGTCCAAGAGTGCTACAAAGGATGAGGAGCCAGGTGATCATCTCTGACCCTGATTTAAAAATCCATATGGCTCTCATAAAACTATCCCTTTATAAATGGCTCAGACTTTCAGAACTTGAACTTATTGTTTTATTCTAATATGGTTGTCTCAAGTTACTAAATTTTATCTGAAATTTTGGGTAGCTCTCATGTAATTTAATACAGCATTTTTATCATTTATTTTATATTCTCACTGTGGGAAAATACTAGTTCTTGTTGTTGAATGAACTACAGACATAGAATAGGATAAATAATGCCACATTTCAGTTCTTTTAAATGGAGAATATTTTGTGGACATTTAATTTTTGAAATTTATGTTACAAGAAGATGATTTGCCTGTTAATCAGTGTATTATAATACCTCTGTCATAGGAATTAAACCAGATGCTCTCAGAAACACCACCGGTTTGGAAGGGATCATCAAAGCTGTTTCGAAGTCTTAAAGAAAGAGGTAAGTTCATTTTAGTACCTATGTGATTTGATTTACTATGTTACTTATACTCCTCATATATTCATTTTTTCCATACATTTGTGTGTACATATGCATAGAAAAAAAACTGAAAAAAATCACATTATGAATGTTTCTGGATAGTAATGTTCTTTTTACAACAAAAGAGACTATATAGTTTAAAAATTATATTTCAACCATATTGAAAAGCACAAGTTATATTTACCCATAGAAGCTGTTTTTCAAAAGTATTAGATCTTCACATGTCTGGTTTTTTCCCCTTTGTTTTGCTTCTGGGAAATTATAGGCATTCCTGAGGTTAATCAATATGAAAAACTTAGTGGACATGTCTTTTGGCATGTTTCTTTTAAACATAACACTCATAGCAAAATCCATCTATTTCAATTTAATCTATTATCAGTATCCATGTATCTAAGTTAATTTGATAATTCATATATTCAATTGCAATCAAGTTACATGGCTTTTATTGCAGTTTTTTTCACAGTGCACTTTTTGTACTTATTTATAGAAAAATTAATAAAATATCTTTTACCTTAAAAAAGAATGTTTCTTAAAAATACACTTGTTTATATTCTCAAATATAAGAATATACAAAACAAAGATATTAAAGAAATTATATAAGTAGTTGTAGGTTTTTTTTCATCAACCTCAAACAGTATTGGCTTGAAAGTACTGTACTTATTCTAGCATGAGACAAACACGTTAAAGGAGTAGTTACAATTCCTAAACTTTATCTACATAGAATAGACATTCAAATTGCTTCCAACTGGTTCACAAGGATTCTAAAAGAAAGATGCCTTGTTTTATTGTAGACATTTCATAACTAGAATTTTTACATCTTTAAGAAACTTCAGCCAAGCTGTCTTAAAATAATCTTCGAGAACCAGGCATGGTGGGTTGTGCCTGTAATTGCAGCTATTCAGGAGGGAGGAGGATCAGTAGCTTGAGGCCAGCCAGGGCTACATAGCAAGAAAACAAAGAAAAACAAATGAACAACAACAAAAAATGTCTTTGAAAATTTTTTCTAGAAGTTGTCTTAAAGATTTGCCATTCAGAGACTGGGAGCTATGTGGCTCACATCCATAATCTCAGCTACTTAGGAGGAAGAGACTGGGAAGCTCATGATTTGAGGCCAGCCATGGAAAAAAGTTAGCAGGACCCAATTTCAACCAAATGGGTGTAGTGGTACACATCTGTGTGCCCAGCTACACAGGAGGCTTAGGTAGGAGGATTGTGGTTCAGTGCTGGCCCTGGGCAAAAGTGAGATAAATAAGCTAAAGCAAAAGAGGCTGGGACCATGGCTTAAGAGGTAGAGTGTTTGCCTAGCCTGCAAAGCCCTGAGTTCAAACCCAAAAAGAAAAAATGCCACTCAGGAACAGGGAATAGTGGTATGTATCTATAATCCTAGCTGCTAGAAAGATGGATAGGAGTACCAGGCAAAAGTGTGAAACACTATCTGACAAACTAAAAGCAAAAAGGACTGAGGAATGGCTTAAGTATAGAGCACAAGGCCCTAAGTTCATTCCCCAGTACCACCACCAAAAAAATTTGCTATTCAGATTTTAGGGTGGGGTGATAGGATCAGGAATATTCAAAGCTCAGAAGGAACAGGTAAGTATGATGAATTAAAAAACTTATCTTAGTGCATCTCATATGAAAATACAAATTTGGATCAAATATAATCTGAGAATATTTGGAAGAAGAAAATTCTTTTTAGTCAAAAAAGAGGTTTGATCTGAAGCTCCAAGTTTAGTCATGTAATCCTCATGTTCATTAATACGTACATTACCATTAAGTATTTTTCAGGGGAGGGAACTCCTTTAGCATCTGCAGTGAGGGAAGTGCTCTGTGTCTGTGCTGCCTTGTGTGCTGTCTCAAGCCATGTGTGACCTGAGCACATCAGAAGTGATATGGGAAACTCAGGAACTGAATTCTGATTTTGATTAAACTTAAACAGCTATACTAGATCATTGGCTACCCTATAGGATAGTTTGCATCAATATCATATTGATCTAATTATGATTATCAAACCATGTTTTCATAAACTTTAAGAACCATTAGGCTAGGTGAAGGAGAGAAACAGATTCTTGCTTTGGAAAAAAAAAAAGATTGAGAAATTTTAAAGCTAAAATTTTAAAACTGTTGAAGATTCATTTTAAAATGAAGTTTATCTGCTTAAAATATTAACCAGTAAGAAAATGCCATATGTTAAAAAAAACTGATAGGCAACATTTATTAACATATGTGTTGCATAGCCACTGTAATGTATCATGATAATGGAAATTTAATTATATAATGCTTTTAAGGAGGACCTTCCTTTAATTTTTTAATTTCATTTTCAAAAGAAACTTAATGTCTTCTTTTTTTCTAAATGTTTTTTGGTTTTGTTTTGCTTTGTTTTGTTTTGTTTTTGACACAGTGCAGGCTGGCCTCAGACTTGTAGTCTTGCTGCTTTAGCCTCCCAAGTGCTAAAATTTAGTTGATAACTTCCTTATCCTTCATTTCCCAAGACTGTACCATTACTGTATATTTTATTTTGGTTTTTGATCCTGGGTAACCTTAGATAAATTAAAGGATTATTCTTACAGTTTTCTATCTTTGTAATTGGAAAGCATTACTAATTTATAGTTCATCTTGAACAGTATTTTCTCTTTTCCTTGACCATTTTTATTACATTACGTCTGTTCAGTTTGTTTTCCTTTCCTGTGGATTAAGCCACCTCATTAACTATGTTGACCTATCACAGTCATCATGATCAGATCTCTCACTGTTAAGAAATCCTCACTTGAGGGAAATCTTGAATCAACTATCAAAGTTGTATAAGTTATTAAAGTTCTTTGTACCAACCAGCCACAAGTTAGAAAAATAGACAGTGAGATGGAATTGTGGAGACAGCAAGCCCATTTCCCAGTCCCGTTTCCCTTTTTCCCTCTTGTATTTATGCTTTTTTTTTTAAGAGGGATCACTGGGGAATCTAAGTATTGTATCTTTATATACATTGACCATTTCAGAATCTTTCTCCCATAACATTCATGGCAATGAACCAAATCTACCTGTGTAGAGGTCACAATATTCTACTATAAACAGGAGAGTGCTTTCAGAGCCTCCTGAGTAGTTCCCTTCTTGTCTCTTGACAAACTGTCTGGCAGTGATTTCTCTTTCCCTTTGTTCTATTAACAAAGAAGGTAGCCTCAAAGAACATCTGATAAAATAGAGATTCACAGTCCACGATCTGATTATTTAAGTATTTTTTATACCCTTTTGCCAAACATCGGAAACTATCTGCTATCTAGATAAGTATTGTAGACTTACTCCTGATTTAATTTTCTCAGTTTCTACCTGGATGGTCTATTAAGCCATTAATTCTAGTTTGAGGTATTATAGTCCAAAAGCAAAAATTCAAGTAAAAGGTTGTATATTTTTATTTTAAATAAATTCCTTTTAAAGTTTGTAATTATGGGCTCACACAGAACTCAGGAGTCAGGGTACATGAAGTGAAAGCCATTGAATTAAAATAAAAACTTTTAGAGTCCACTCAATAGAAGCATTATTTGGCAAAAGTAATAAATGATAATTTGACAGTAGAAAATTGGTGACTGTAAAGTTTTATTTTTTAATGTAATACAAAAATCAAATTTCTAAGCAAGAATGTATGTTTTATTCAGGTGTTACTTAACAGCATTTTAGCCTTTATAGTATTAATATTTCCCAACATTTTTATTTTATCTTAGATTCATACATTAACAATTAACAACAAGTTTAAAAGTTACAACTATAAGTAACATTACAATTTTCTTTTTAATGTCAATATATTTGAGAGCATTAATGGGAATTTGTATGGATTTCTGTAGTGACATGGAATACTTAAAGCAAAATCATTTCGGCTTTTGCAATGATTTTATAATAATGTAACCCCATTTAAAACTATTTAGCATCTGCTTTAAAACTATAAACTATTCATAACATTCATAGCTAGTATAATATTTTACTTTGATACATATGAAGATAAAGTAGCATTTTATATAGCATAATTGGTACTATTTTTCTTCTAGGTGTGATTTCTTACACAGAATATCTTTTTCTTTTATGCATTTTAACAAGTAAGTATACTCGTTAAATCTATTTCTAGTTGTAGTTTTCTATTTTAATCTGAGTCTTGGAAAAGAGGTCTTTCTTAGCTTCTTTATTGAAAATAGCAAGAATATATGTTTGCTCTTCTGCCAAATTCTTATCTAAATGCCACAGAAAATGCTAAGCACAGCACTATCAAGGTCAATAATATAAATATTTTGACTTGTATAGTAGTAAAATATCTATAAATTTAAAATATATATCAATTGTTTTGATTTTAATTTACATGAGACTCCAAAGATCAGGATATAAAATAATTTATAAATTTCTCACTGTACTCATTTGAATTAGATTTTCTAAAAGACTAATGTGAGAGAATGAGTTGAGCCTCCTAGCTGGTGAGTCTATTGGAATACCCATCCTCCACTTCCAAAAGTAGCTTTGCTTTTCTCTTCCTGTCATATTCAGTGGTTCTTATGAAATAGTTCTTATGACTAGAGAGCTTTACTATAAAGCTCTCAGTTCAATTTCTTTGCATTGACTGGAGGAAATTGTATGCCATATTTACTGTGCAGCAGCCACCTAACCTTTCCACTCCTTGAATTCCCATTTTAGGGATTTGTCTTTGTGCCATCAGTGCTTTCCTCAAGATCCACCTGAGAATAAACATCGTACAGTGTCCTTTCAAATAAATATGAAGACTTAAAAATCTTACTCAGTTATCCTCTCTGAAATAGCTCCTTCTCCTGTGTCTCTCTTTTTACTCATTTTCCCATGTTTTATTTTCATCATAGCACTTAAGTTATTTGAATCATTGGTTTGCATGCTGTTTCTCCATTCTGTAGTACAAGATTTGTGATGGCAAAAATGTTATCCTTTTTGTCTATCTCTGTATCAAGAACAATGTCTTATCCAGAGTACCTTCTCAAAAAGTAGTTGGTGAATAAAGAAAGGAATAAAACTGATATTTCCAGTTGTGGGGAATTGTGGAGATGTATGAAAACAAGAACATCAATAAAATGCATTTGAAACAAGTTTTAAAATATCTGGTACTTCTATAATTTGAAATTTTACACCACTGTGTTATTGTTAACTTAGTAATAAGTAATGTTACCATGAGTTCTATTATAGGAGGTTTTGTGGGAGAGGAAGGAGAATGTGTACATGTGTATACATGTGAGTTTTAAAAATTATCTTCTTTTATTTTTTCTTGTGTTTTTTTTTCTCCTGGAGTCAAAATTAGAATAAAATGTAGGTCCTGAAGAATTAAGTGTTGTGCAGTTGACCTGAGGTCAATATAGGTAGTGATGTTGGATACAAGTCTAGTCAATGAGGAATCATACTATGGAATTAGAGTGGGTGCCAGAAGAGTGTCTCAAGATAAATGGAAAACCATCTTGTTAGTTAGAACAACTTTGAATGCAAAATTAGAAGTTATAAGTACTTAAATAAGCAGAGTGATTGACAAAAATGAGAACACTACTGGTTTGGAAAGAATCACTTGCAAAGATGGGACAGGGTATGGTTTAAGGGTGTATGAGAAAACATAGTAATTGTTGCTTACTGTAGGAAAAATTAGGCCTTACATTGTTGTGAAACTATCTTTGGAGTTCCTGAGAAGTTTTCAAGGAGTAACAGAAAAATTATAGGATGTTGTTTAGATTAGAACTAAAAAAGTGAAGTGGGCTTACATTATTGATGGTATCTCTCTATAAGTTTTTCCTCTTTACCTTTGATTATTTTAACTTTATTTTCCCTTCTAAACAATGCTTCTAAAGGCTTCCTTGATATATTACTTTTGAGATCTTTTTAAAGCTTAAAACTGACTTACCAGAGATAATGTAAACTTTTTTTCTTACTTTAGTGAGTAGTAATGAAAGTAAGCTTAGATTCCTAAAATACATACAAAAACAAGCTAACATAAAGCATTGGCTTCTGTTTGTGTTATTTTCAGAGACAGCTATTACCCATTAAGAAAGCATGACTATCTGCTTCTTTTGCCAGTGTCAGGATTTCACAACAAGTATAAATGAAGGTGGGAGGGGTTTTTCAAACTTTTTGCTAACCATCTCAAAAGAAAGGTCAAATATTTTGAGAAACACATGTACACTGAGCTCCAATTTGAAGGATACCTTCATGTTTTCTTCTGTCCAAGTTTTCTTTTTTATGCTCTAGAAGTAGAAAGTGGAGTGAGACTTCTTATAAGATTCATAAAGTCAAATTGGTACTTCATAGTATGTGAGTCTTTGTAGTTTGGAGGACTTTGGAATTATATATTCAATTCACTTTTACATTTCTGGTTTTGAAGTTTCAGGAAGTTTAAACCCTAATCTGTAATCTCTCATAGTTGACTTTTATTCCTATAGGTCATTTCAGTTATAATTTTCTGAAGAATTGGAACTAGTCTGTCATGACATTATTTTTTCTGCTATTTCAAAGTAGTTGAACATATTGAAAATATTTTAAATGTGATGATTTGATATTTTCCTCCTTATCAAGTAGACAGACTTTAGGTATTTATTTCTAGAGAGAATGCAGTCAAATTTTTCCCCTAATGCTATGCAATAAGTATTACAAAAGTACTTTAAAAATATTTTATCAATTCCTTTTTTAAGTCTAATAACTACTGAAGCAGAAATGTGTTTATTTCTATATAGTTTTCTTTACATTTAACTAATAGTAACTTAATGATTTTGATTTCTTGATTAAAAGTATTTCTGTACAGCATAACTGCTTATAAATACTATGGATTATGTATTTTAAAGTACATTTTTCCATTTTATGTACGTTTTTCTATTTGTCATGGCAGAGCCACATGCAGGTTTTAGAATAGCTTTCAACATGTTTGACACTGATGGCAATGAGATGGTGGATAAAAAGGAGTTTTTGGTGGTATGTATATTATAAACTGCATGTTCAACAATTAATTATGGCTTATATTTTTATGTTTTTGCATTATTTGGAATACTATATAGAGGGAAAAAGTGTAGAATTTAAACTTTCATCTTAATTTAATAAACAAGCTTATGCTTTGAACAAGATTTATTTTATGAAAATATAAATTATACTTGATATATAGATGATTACAATGATTATGTTCTACCTGAAAGTTTGGAATGTGTCACAGATTTTCTGCTGGAAGGATAACAGGCAATCCTGAGATTATACTTGCCCAGTTAATACTTAGTTTCCTTCATATTAGCTAACTAGTCACAGCTCTGCTCTAGGAGCTTCTCTTTCTTATCAATATAAGAGTCATGGTTTCCTATTTCCTTTTTCCTTCCACTCACTTTTGCCTTGTATTCCAGATTTGTACCCATTTCCTTTTCCCTTCCCTTGTCTTTGACCAAGGACAGACAAAAGGCATTTATCCTTTGCTCTTTCTCACCTTATTGGTCCAGCCTTGGTAATGGCCTGACAATGTCCTCAACTGTTCATTCATCTTCCCACCTCCCCTTTCAGAATTATTCTTTTTACCTATGTTTCCTGCATCCGTTTCTATGGCAAAATATCTATTCTGTTTTTTCTCTAAAATAGAAATTAATGTTAATTTGTTTGTTATAGTAAACACTGTACTCTACTCTTGCAAAAGTTGCTTTAAAGCTGTTATTTGGTCTTTTCAGTTGGTCTCCTGCTGTCTCATATGTGATACTTGCTTGTCTGTTTGCAAAGAATTCCTAAAAACAGGAGGTGGAGTTATGTTATTTATAGAAGTCTAAAACCTTGGGAAGTAGTATATTTTATTTGGCTTTAAACTTTTAATAATGAGATAAAGCTGAGATTGTTGTCCAAATTATACAGATAAGAGTAATGAACTTTTAGAAAACTGATAAAAGAAATAGGATTAGGCATCCATTTTTAAATCATAAGATTTTAAAGGGAAATAGTACCATTTGTAATAATAGTAGATTACAATTACTGAGAAATTACTGTGTAACGGGATGTGCTAAGTAATTACTTGTACTACTTATTTCAAACAACATTATATAAGATACGGAATTTAACTCATGTTCTAGGTATGAAAAAATGCCTCTGATAATCAAAATAACTTGCCCAAGGCATGATACCTGGTGAGCCTGTTCTTTTACTGCCATGCTCAGTTACTAGAAAGACACGTTAGAAATCATCTAGTCCATCCTCACTTCATGCATGAACCCAACAAGGATGAAGTGACATGTATTTTAATGAAATTAATATGTGACAGAAGCTGGATGACAACCCAGAGTCCTTGAGTAATATTCCAGTGTTCTTTATACACCAGTGGGCTTCATCTCTTTGTGTGTACCTCAAGCTCCATGCCTTTGTGTCTTAGAGATAAAATAAAACTTTAAGAAACACATTTAACTTAACTGTGGGTTGGCAATACCAAAGAATGTATATTGTTTTTCTTGGAAAAATATTGAAATCAGAAAATATATGTAGAGTAGTTTAAAAGCTCTTGGCTGATGAAATTATTTTTGTTGTTACTGTTTTTAGCTAGAACAGAGTAGTGGGTAGGTATATCAAAACTCTTGGTAGAATTTGATTCTTGATTGATTTCCTTTCAGCTTCAAGAGATATTCAGGAAAAAAAATGAAAAGAGAGAAACTAAAGGAGATGAAGAAAAGCGTGCAATGCTGGTAAGAAATACTTTGTAGTTGTTTCAGGTGGGTTTTCCAGGTGAGAATTAACTTTATTCATGTTGATACACAATAAGCAGAATTTTAGAGCTGTTTCTTTCTTGAAAGCGTTCTAGTGTTCTTATGTAGAAAAATTACTTCAGTATTTTTATACATCAATATCAATATTTCTCTCAAATATTGATATTAAACATCTGTACTCATAGTCATATTCATTAAATCATTTTCATCCATATTTCTGTTATCTGTGAGATTTGAAGGGTATATCATATAGTGGATTAATACAGATCATTATGCATGTAAAAATTTAAAGGTGAATTGCAAAGATTTAATTATAAGTGAAATTATTGGTAATATAACAATATGAATGTTAAAGCAAATAAAAGGAAATAATATGTCTTTGCATTCTTAGAAGTAGTTATAGATTCCTTTTCTGGGATGCATAGTATTACTGTCTTATTCTGAAGTTAGAATTAAAGAACATTCCCTTTTATCTTCTACCAGTTTTCTTTTTGTTTATCACAAATATTTCAACCTACTTATAGGCCACCTAACAAAAATAACAGACTCTGTGACCTTACTATCAGGCTCTATGCTAGATTCTATTGCCTCATTTAATCTACCCAACAATTCTCTTATTGTCTATAATTAAAGATGAGGAAGCTCAACAATTTGAAAGATTAAGTATTCTCTCCAAAATTATACAACTATTAAATGGCAAAGCCAAGATTTGAAACTTTGCCTGACCAGCTCCAAACCTACACTTTCATTCATTATACCATATTTCTTCATCTGCTACTTAGATACCATAAATACAGTGAATTTTGTTCACATGTCAATGATAATTATTTATTTTGCAGATTAGTAACTATGCAGTAGTTTCACTGTTCTATATGGAATTAAAATAATTATTTTCATTTTTATTATTCTAATGTTGTATGTATTAGGTGTTTTTTAAAACATGGACTATCAATAGCAGAGTATACCATGTTCAATCCCAATATGTTTATGTATTTATGAAATATATATTTTTATCTAGTTTATAAAAGATTTTATAAATCTTTTATAAAATCTTTATATATTATATTATATATTTACATATTACTTCATAGGATAATTGACTATAACATAATTATCAATAGTTGATGAGACTTCTCTAATATACTATTGACAAAGCTTATGGAAGACAGTCTTGAAAAATCAAATGGCTGATTATAATGTTAATGAAATATATAAAGGGGAATTAGTAATACTCTGTTTAAATCAGGTGTCATAGTTTTCAAATTGTAATTTAAAAATTCTGTATGAATAGCCCCATAAATGCAATTATATAGTCTTAGCAAAGAAAACTAGAGAATTTAAATCCTTCTTAAATTTTATTTCATGTACATAATACATTGAAAGAATTAGCAGTTAACCTAATTTTGATAGATTATTTCAACTTACAATTAACTGAATAGGCAAGTTGTTAATGAAGTATCATTTAAGGAGGCCAAATTGTGGAGGTTGATAATGCTAAAAGTATTGGTGTACCTTTAGTATAAGTAAATAGTATTTCAATGGGTAGAAATTTTATTATTTGTTTACTTATACTACTTCCAGAGAGGATTTGTGGGTATTCAAGTAAAAAATGTAATGTGATCCTAGTCACTAACATTTCTTAAAATATATCAGGTAACAAAGGGAGTGAGGACAGGGAGTGGGGACAGCACACATGGGGCAAGCTGCAGTAAAACACAAAGCAGGGCCATGGGCTTCATTGCAGCCAAGGCGAAGGGGATTTAATATTGATTCAATGCAGAGGTCCCATAATAGTGACAATGTAAAGTCTCATTAACTTGAATAATTAGGAGAAATCTCTCTGAATTGCAAAATCTTAATTATACCAGCATAACATATATGCATATATGCATATATGTTTTATATGCATATAGTTCAGTGAAGTATTCCCTAGTGAATATATTGGGAAGTAGACTTAGTTTTAGAGAACAGATAAAAGTAACACGTAAATACTTATACAAGTTGTATATTTATAAAAGGATGCTTTCTAAAGTCATTTGTCTCCACAGGTACCTCAAAGATGTTTATCTTCTGTAATTTAAATAGTGCTCCTGAAATCTCATTTACATAATTTAACTATCAGAACTATTCCTTAAAATAATTCAGAAATAATACTAAGTTCAACCTGTAATTGAAAGCACTTTTCTGCAATACAACTCTCTACAAATATTCATTAATATGCTTAATAATGATGATAATTAGTTTTAGCTTACTATAGTCACACTTTAAATAATGCAGGCCTAAAATGATAAGATTCCCACTTTCTAGACAAGTGCTCTGCCACTCAAGCCATATCCCTGGTCCTTTTTACTTTTTTAGTCTCATGCTTTTGCCCAGACCAACCTCAGACTATGATCCTCCTACCTGTACTTCTTGCACACCTGGGATGATAAGTATACACCACCACACCCAGCTGGTTTTTGACCCTAGACTACCCTCTAACATGGTTCTCCTATCTCTGCCTCCCAGGTAGTTGATATTACAGGTAGGCATTATACCATACCAGCAAAATTTTATACTATTTTTGTTGTAGAGGATCCTGTTGAGTGCAAGGTGGTAGTGTCAACATGATAGTAATGACAGTGTGTTCCTATACATTGTTTTTAAGAGGTACTGGGGATTAAACTCGGAGTCTACACTCTACCACTTGAGCCACAACCCTAGTCTTTTACTTTTAGTTTGTTTTTCAGATAAGGCCTCATACTTTTTCTCTGGCTGGCCTTGGACCATAATCCTTCTACCTCCACCTCCTGAGTAGCTAGGACACAGGCACATGCCACCACACCTAGCTTCCAATTTGAACTAGGATGTCTGTAACTTTTGCCCAGGTTGGCCACAAACCATGATTCTCCTATCTCCACATCCCAAATAGCTGGGCTTAAAGGCACACACTACCATATCCAACCCTCTGCACATTCTTAAAACAATTTGGTTAAATTTTGATTCAGCTAAAATTAGCTTATTAGGAAAGTATATTGTTCACATAAAAGACAGTGTAACAAAGATTTTCAGGGTTTAACTAAATACTAGCTCTGCCATTCATTGCCTGCATAATCTTGCACAAGATTCTCTGCCTCAGGTTTTTTCATTTGTAGAATTGGAATAATAGGAATAATGACCACCTTTGACCTTTATAGGAATTAAATAAGCTAAAATACATAGCCACTTAACAGTCCATGAGATATAATAAATACTCAAAACAGTTAGCTAATGGTAAAACTAATAGAACCTCATAGCTACTTTAATTTGAATTTTAACATACCCAAATCAAAATTAAGCCAAAAATAAATTTTAAAATATTTGCCTATCAGAATAAAACTATGCTTCATAAGGAGTGAAATGAATATCACATTTTTGGGAGACACTTATATACTGAGCTTGATACCATGTCCATAGTAAATGTTTCAGTTCTCCCAGGTAAGTATTATACCTATTGTAGATGAGAAAATAGTCGCGGATTAATTAACTTGTCTAACGTCATATAATTGATAGCAGCAGAACAGGATTCCAGAGAGGGTCTCTCATACCATTTCCACTGTTGTGCTATTATCTAGAGTTTCCTCCTAGCCCATGTAAAATTCCTGAAATCTGTCTAAATAAAACTTCAGTTAAGAGACAGATGTTTTATTCAAAGCAATAATGCTATCAGGTTGCAATGGATATGGTTGAAATGCACACAGATTCACTTAATGTTTAATTATATTCGATTTTAACAACTTTGCTACTCATCTTTAACATTTATCCCACTTGTATTGTGTGTGTGCTCTATATAGAATGTAGCATAATGATTTGCCCTTCCTAATTGATTATTTTGTCGTCTTTTTCTTTTTTTCTTTTGCTGTACTTGGGTTCATTCTGAAATGTGACACCTCATTTGGCCCTTTGTGCTCTATGTCAGCGTCTTCAACTTTATGGATACCATTCTCCTACTAATAGTGTATGTACAATACTTTAAATGTTCTTTATGTATAAAGCCCTCACCTGTTATGCTTGATAATGTTATTTCTTTATATAAAGCTATTATCTGCTATTTACAACGTTTTTTAATTTGTTGAATAAAATAAGGTTCAATCAAGCCACAGTTTTACATTTCTTTCCTAGATTTATGAGGAGACTAACATATAATGAGCAATTGTATAACTTTTATTAATTGCATATCTGTAGATTAAATTAAAAGGTGAATGAACAGCAACCATCAATAACTGTGGTAGAGTAATTGAAAGTTTATGTTTTCAGCAGCATTTGAAGAGTTATATGCAAATAACAGGGTAAATAGGCTATACTTCGGCAGAACTAAATATATCCATTAATACATAGTTTTCATCAATTCTAATAAAAGCATATTAATGGGTACACCTTTTTAGTTTTCAGTATTTCTCACATTTTTACAAAAACTCTTGCTGCCTACCTACTTTTTCTGGTCTATAAAAAAATCTGGTATAAGATGCTACTTGATACATTTACTGTGTCAAGGTACTACATTATTTCTCAAAGAAAATTATTATGTTCAGGCACTTCTTGTCTTAAAAAAATTAGTAGCTCCTATAAATAATCTCCCAAGTAAGTGCATTCTTCTTAGGCTGAGCATTCTTAATTCTAGTCTCTTGAGAAAGTAAAAGCTTATTGGTTAGCCCAACTAGTAACTAACCTACTAAGAATAGGCTGTGGTGTTTTTAAAAATGTAAACATGCACAGTGTGTTTAATTTCTCCAAGGATCCTTCAGCCATTTGAAAGGATCCCTCAAACTATAGAAATTCCCCACAAGAAGCCCTGGAATTCAGGGTGACTAACTCAGTATTATGCTGCTCAGAGTGTGCTACCTGTAGAGTATAATTCTAAAACTAGGTGTATTGCCTCCTATGCAGGATAGTTAATCAAAATTCCAAACTATAAAAAACTAACTCTTGTTTTAGATTTGAACTGACAAAGTAAACAAAAGATATTTTGCATAGTGGTGGGAATGGACCTGGAACAATTAAGGAACAAGCCTAGCCTATGGGGCTCATGTATCTGACTAATGTTTTAATCCTTAAAAGAAACTAAACATTTTCTACAAAATTCACTGTTGCTTTCCATTAAATAAAGTCTATATTATCTACTCTAAATTTGTAAGATGTCTCTGTTAATCATTTCAGAAAGAATACTTGTAATAATGTATAAAATGAAAACATCATAAATTATAATGACATATGCCCTGTGAAATGTAATGATAATATTAATTACAAGTTTATGATTTATTTTTCTAATGTCATTGTAGAACCCATTTTCTGTGACAGCTTTAAAATTTTTTAATCTCATAAATAATTTTCCTATAGGATGTTTATATTTTTTAAAGCTACATTTCAGAATAATAACATTGTTAAAAGGAAGTAGATCCGAATACACCTCTAGTTTAAACATAAACAAATTGTAGTCACTGAGACATTAAGAGAACAATGTTGAAAAGCAGACTTAAATTGCCCATTTGATTTATATTATGCTTGTTCAGTTAATAGGAAAGTATATTTATGATTTTACATTTTATTGCCTACCATATTTTTCTTTCTTTTAGTTTATTGAAGATGGTTTTGTCCTTATGTAAGATGCATATATTAAAGTGAGATAACTTGATGTCATTTTTATACAGTCTTAAATGGATTACATGATTTTTCAACTCCTTAGGAATTTAGTTAGATATTTACTACAAAAGCAATGATTATTTTCAAAATCTGCAGGGAAAATTAATTAAAAATTAGAAAAAGTTCAAAAAGGCTGAAAATGTATATGAAATATCATGGATGTAAGTATTGCACAGATATGTCAATGTAATTTTATAAATCAACTAGAAATTATCTGCTAATTTCCAGAACTAAAGTAACTGAAGTAATAAAGTACCTAATTTGAGTGTAGATCATGGAGCTTTATAGAGAGATTTTTCTGGCCTATGTAGAAACCTATTCCAAACTATAATCACACTTGCAATGATTCTGCCAATATTCAATCACATTGTTTCCTCTACAAGTGAAAGATTGATGATGTCGCCTTGTATTCATAAAAATAGTTACTACCTTATATAGTTTTTGTTTCAAATAACTCAGATTCTTTTTGTATTTCTGATACAGTCAATTCTACTAGCTTCCTAAATTAATGAAAAGAAATATAAAAAAATTAAAGAAATAAATTTTTTGACTTTGGCATGGTTTATATGATTTTTAAAACTTTTTTTTTTCTTTTTTTGTGGTACTGGGACTTGACCTCTGGGTCTTCAGCTTGAGCAACTCCACCAACCCTATTTTTGTGAAGGGTTTTTCAACATAGGCTCTTGCAGAACTATTTGCCTGCGCTGGCTTTGTGATTCTCTTGATTTCTGCCTCCTGAGTAGCTAGGATTACAGGCATGAGCCTTTGGCACCTGGCTTAAAACATTATTCTTAATTACCCTAATTTCATTGACATTAGAAAATCTATCTATTTTTACATCATTTCTTTGACATTTGTTGAGTTGTGTTTTATGGACTAAAACAATGTCAATATTTATAAATATTCTTTATTTTAAAAGAATATTCATTCTCTAATTTACAGAATAGGGTTGTAATATATGTGTATATACAAATACACATATATTTTACCATGCATGCTAATTGTATGTTTTAAATCTTCTTTGTTCTAATATTTTTGTCTGCTTGATCTGTCAGTTAATACATTGAAGTACACATTACAATGAGAGAATTATTAATTGCTACTTATGATCTTCATGTTTTCTATTATATATATTTGAAGCATTATTACCTGTGTAAGAATATAGATTATTTATATCTTCTGAATGAACTTAATCTCTTATTATATGCTCAGTGTTTTTTGCCTGAAAATCTATTTGTTATCAGAAAAAACTTACCTTTATTTGGATTAATGTTTTGTATTTCCATTTTTTTCCTGTTGTATTGCTGAAATGTTCTCTGATTTTTAAAATGTATTTTTAGTTCAGAAATTTACTGAAAATAAAATATTAATATAAAATAAAATAGTTAGAAATGCTATACACCATATAGGTCAAGAAATAAAATATTGCTGTACTCCAAGAAACCCCTTCATGAATATATAATTTCTTTGCTTATGTATCCTAAATAATCACTTCTTTACTTATGTATCCTAAATAATATAGTTTACTTTTATCAATTTCTGTGGTGTACATAAATGGAATCGTCATACATAGTCCTAGGTCTTTTATTGCTATAAATGGCAATTTTCAAACAATTAGTTCTTGTGATTCTGTTACAGGGTTGAAAAGAGATTTTATGTGGATTATATCCACCTGTATATATCATATTAAAATAAATATTTAAAAATTTTTAATTAACTATTAATTTAAAATTAATTGCTTTAATGTATTTGAAACATTCATAATCCATTTTCAGGAATGGGAGTATGGCTCAAATGGTAGGGTACCTGTCTAGCAAGCATGTAGCAAGCATAAAACCTTGAGTTCAAGCCCAATACCCTAAAAAAAAGTTTTGGGCTGGAGAAGTGGCTAAAGCAATAGAGTACCTGCCTATCAAGCATGAGGCCCTGAATTCAAAACCCAGTATTACCAAAAAAAATTTAAACAATTTATTAATGCATTTTTAAAAACAGTAAAAGTCATTACATGTTAATTTAAGTATTTTTATGGAAAACAGCTTCTCAAAAATTGGGTGAAAACTGCTGGTTTCTCATAGCCATTTTTACATTCAATCTGTTACAATGTATTATTTTGGCAACAGGTACTGTTCTGTTTACTTTCAAGTGACAAGCCCAGTGCGACTTATTTTCCAAAAAACATCTGCCAAATACCAAAGTTTGAATAACCATAATTTGTCTATCAGTTGTTTTTCAAGTAAAAATGATGGTTCATGAAAAAAAGTGGTTAATTCAGCTTGCAATACAAACCATCACACTAGTGTTCTTTCTCCAGGCAGCTAATGTTCTTTAGTATGCAGCAGAAGGCCTTTTATATGCATTCTCACACCAAACATTGAAAAGATGTACTCTCAAAGTTTCAGCAAGCACATTCTTAAGTGAAATTTTTTTTTTCCTTCCTCTTCCCCTCCCCCCCTTCTCTCCAACTGTGAGTGTGTGACACTGAAGAATGTAATGACTTTGGTCATTGGTGTGACACTCCTCCTTTGTACTAAGGTCCCAGTAGTTTTATTCACTGTTACTTAAACCATCACTACAAATGTCAACATATTAATGCAAATAATGTCTTTAAGAGCCTTAAAGAAGATAATACCTGTTTTAGATTTTGTTCAGCTTTTTCAGATGTTCTCAATGAGAAATCTGGGACTAATTACAAGTCTGCCATTAATAGAAGCCTATTATACTCTTTTTCACCCTCTTTTCTTATAAGGTGGAACCTTTTTAACAGTATATTTTGTAAGTTGGGCTGGTTTCTTTTATTCCAGTTGAAAATCAGCTTTTTTGTATTTTTAGTTTTTTGGTGGTTTGAATTAAGAGCCTCATAGAAAATCTGCTTCTTAATTGGAAAATTCATTTGATTTACACTGCTATGATTACTTATTGATTTGGATTTTAGTCATTTTTATTCTATATACTATTCTTTTTTCTTTTGGATACTATTATTTTGGAGTATCCCGCTAAATAATACTCTATCATTAACATTTTATTAAATTATGAGCAGTGGGTGGTATTTTCTAGTTGATAAGATAATTAACTAGAAGATCTTTGAAATGATTCTTAGATGCCTACAGTTTTATTAATGGCACCAGACCAGTTGGTTAGTTAGTTCATTTTTTAAGACAGGGACTCACTCTGTTGCCCATTCAGGCCTTGGACTCCTGGGCTCAAGCAGTCCTCCTGCTTCAGCCTCCAGAGTAGCTGAGACTACAAGCACAAGCCCCTGTTCCCCATTAATACAATAGGAAAAAAGAGGAAAGTTCTCTTTTCACCTGTTGTGCTGCCTTTTCTTCTCTTAGTAACTGAAAGATCACCAAGCCTGAGAGCCATGTAGTCTTCCCTGATACATCTTGATAGAAACTGCTTTTGTTTTTGTTTAGAGATTCAAGTTAGGCTTGCAGGCCAACATTTTTATAAGAAGATTAAACCACTTCTTAATCTTGGCATTTCATTTTTCACACTAGCCAATACTGAGATGAAAGCTAGTGTTTTCCCTTGTAATGAAGATTACAAAGTGCCTTATCCATTGACAGTAGTCATACCTATCAAATCCCTGAGTAGCATTGAGACTTTTGATTTAAACAGCTTTATTTCTTTTTTGTAAGCTTTGAATTAATTTAAACGGTTTGTATCTTTAAAGTATGGATAAGATTATTTTGACTTTGGTTCACTAATAAGATAAACAAGAGCAACAAATATCTTTTAAATTAAATATGATTTTAGTAGGTGATTACAAAATTATCAGAATCTTCTCTATGTGCATTAACTTCACATGAGGTTTGAATAAAATTTTTATTTCACACTTTTTTTAGAAGTTATGTATCTCAGTAGATAGGCAGAGGGGTTGATTGGAGAGTTTGATTCTTTTGACAAAGCCACATTGTACTTAGTAATTGTGGCTATACACATTGCACCTGTGAAAGTACCATGAGTTTACCAGCTGTGTAATAGAATACTGTTGTGTGCCCCAGAATACAAAAAAGGTAAGCTAATGTGTTTTCTTTTAAGGTTTGTTAGAGTAGATTTAAATTATATAAATTGTCATTCTTTGTGACTGTTCTTTAGATTTCAGTTTTTCTTCCTAAAACTTCTACAGGTACTTAAAACAGATGCTGAAGAACTTGTCTCCAGAAGCTATTGGGATACACTGAGACGTAACACAAGCCAAGCACTCTTTTCAGACCTTGCAGAGGTATAATTAAACCTCAACAAAATCCTTGTACTATTTGCCATTTTGTTAATCTAGTACTCATTTTTAGAGTTACAAGGATGAAACCAAAAATATATTATGTTTTCTCTATTCTTACTATATAAACTATAATAATTAGTATACATATAATTACCATACATAAAGTGCATTTGAATATGCTGCTGTATTGACAGGGGCATCATGACCACCTGTAACTTTCTGTGTTAATGTGTTTAATGAATTTGCTTATCATATAAAACACTTAATTCAAAAGAAATAGTTGACTTAATTATAAAGTCATATTTTAATTAATGATCACTTCGTAGAAATTTGAAAATAATAATATAGATTTATTAATGGTACATTTACAATGCTGAAATGTTTCTCTTAGTAAAAGATAACTGAGGTTTTTTTATGGGACTGCAGTTTGAACTCAGGGCTTTGTGCTTGCAATGCAGGCACTCTACCACTTGAGCCATATATCCAGTCCATTTTGCTCTGGTTGTTTCGGCTATAGGGTCTTGTGAACTATTTCTCTGGGCTCACCCTGAACCAAGATTCTACCTTATCTCAGCCTCCCAAGTAGTTTAGGATTACAGGTGGGAGCCACCAGTGCCTAGCCAAGATAACTGACTGTTTTGTTATTGTGCTGGGTGGGGGTATGTTGTGGCATTTACAAAAGTTCTTAGGGTATATCTAATAACTGACATTTATGTTAGATTTAAACAATTAAATTTCTCAGTATTAACAAGTGAGTGGCTTACCAAGAATGGGGGTACAAAGGGTTGGGGAACTGTGTCAGTCAAGGAAAGGAAAAATATTTTACTTTGACATTATTTAAGATTGCCAGTGAATGGCGAAAATAAAAGGCAGACTGACTCTACTTTAGTTTTATTATCATTTTGAATTTAACAGTGATATGTACCTTATTACTACACTCAGGATAGACTGCCTCTGCCACTCCATTCCTGTTATGCTCCCATTAATAGGGATTTTAACTTTTAAGGATGGGCTGACTCAATGTAGATTAAATGTTGTTATTAAGAATTTTATAATTAAAGTTAAAAGTTTTATAATTAAAAGTTTTATAAAAGAAAGTCAGAAGAAGCTACCAGTCTTATTGGGAAGGATTTTTCAGTTAATACTAAGAGATTTATTTTTCACTGTCTTTTTCTCTTTAAAGTTAACTTCTAATTTCTTTTTTCTATATTTTAAATTTGACTTTTAAAACTTATACCTAAAAATATAAAGAGAAGTAAACTGCAATTAGTTTTCACTTTTTGTTTGTGATATCAGGTCTTGTTGGGTTGCCCAGGGCTCAAGTGATCTCATACTTTAGCTTACCAAATAGCTGGGTCTACAGGCATGTCACTGATTTCTGTTTTCTCTGTATACTGTGCTACTCAACTGGCATCCCTAGACTAGGGCAAACACTTGGAAATATTAATCTGGTCACTCATGCTCAAATTTAAGGTCCTAAAACAAATAATGTATTTTGCCCCATATTTAATCAATTTGTGATAAATAAAATTGATGTAATTATAACCTTTTTTGAAATTACCTTTTAAATTTGAGTCATGTGTAGGAATGAAGCAGGTGTTCCATTCAAAGATATCTTAGAAGTACTTTATTTTACAATCATTTACACACAGTAAGTACACACAGTAGTCTGTACTTAAAAAGAAGAGCAACTGGAAACACTATCCCTGTGATTCCTACAAGCCAACTGTCACCTAGCTGCCTGGCTTCAAATTGACATGTCACGGTGGTCTCTCCCTGTACTAGAATGTCCTCCTCCCAAACTCCAGACTTTCTTCAATCCCATCTAACTTTACTACAGATTCTCACAGACAAATATCTTATTTATTATTTTAATTTTTTATTAATTTTATTTTTTGTTTATTCATTTATTCATATATGTATACATTGTTTGAGCCATCTCTCCTCCCTGCCCCCTGTCCCCTTCCCCTCCCCCCATCCTCCTCTCTTCCCAGCAGAACCTGTTCTGTCCTCTTCTCCAATTTTGTTGAAGAGAAAACATGAGATAATAAGAAAGACATAGCAGTTTTGCTAGCTTGAGATAAAGATAGCTATACAGAAAGATTCCCAGCATTGCTTCTATGCACATGTGTAACAACCTGAATTGGTTCAACTCTGCCATACCTCTTCACTACTTCCTGGTCATCTTCCCATAGTGGCCTCTGTCAGTTTAAGATTGCTTTATTAGCTCCTCTGCAGTGGGCACATCAGACACTTTCAAGTTTTAGGTTTCCTATCTTTCCCTATTCCTCCTGTATGTGTTCTCCCCTTAGTGTGTGACCCACATCCAATAATATTATTGAATTTGTTTTAGGTCTATAATCTGCATATGAGGGAGAAATACGTAAGAATTTTGGCCTTCTGAGCCTGGCTAACTTTGCTTAAGATGATGTTCTCCAGTTCCATCCATTTACTTGTGAATGACAGACAACATTTTATTCTTCTTTGTGGCTGAGTAAAATTGCATTGTGTATAAATACCACATTTTCTTAATCCATTTGTCAGTAGTGGGGCATCTTGGCTGTTTCCATAACTTGGCTAGTGTGAATAGTGCTGCAATAAACATGGGTGTGCAGGTGCCTTTGGAGTAACTTGAGTCGCATTCCTTTGGGTACATCCCCAGGAGTGGTATTGCTGGATCATATGGCAGGTCTATGTTTAGTTTTTTAAGAAGACTCCATACTGTTTTCCGAAGTGGTTGTACTAGCTTACATTCCCACCAGCAGTGTATGAGGGTTCCTTTCTCCCCACATCCTCGCCAACAAATGTAGTTCGTGGTATTCTTGATGATAGCTATTCTAACAGGGGTGAGGTGGAATCTTAGTGTGGTTTTGATTTGCATTTCCTTTATGGCCAAGGATGGTGAGCATTTTTTCATGTGGTTTTTTTTTTGGCCATTTGAATTTCTTCCTTTGAAAAAGTTCTGTTTAGTTCAGTTGCCCAGTTTATTGGTTCATTGATTTTAGGGGAGTTTAGTTTTTTGAGCTCCCTGTATATTCTGGTTATCTAGTTAAAAGGTTCCTGGAAGTTAATGAAAATGAAAACATGACCTACCAGACAAGATCTTATAATTAGATTTTGAATTTAATTTAAATCTTGTGAGGTTTAATATCAGAAGACCAGGCAGGTCTTGCACACTCCGAAGATTATGTGTTTTGCAGAAGATCTTTGGAACATGGTTATCTTTCTATCAGAGGTATGCTGGAGCTGGCTTTTTCAGCTTCCTGGAGTCAGCTCTGCACATCTCTGCCCAGCTCAGCATTCTGAGACATCTTTTCAGTACCTTGAAGCTGGTCACGATAGGAGTATTAATACCACAGAAATTGACAGACAATACAAATCAGCTTTTTTTTCCCCTGGAGAACCAGTTTACCAGCACAACACTATGATCATAAGAGGCTAAATAAATTAGTAAATTGGCTTAAACATCATGAAGTAAATCTAATGGAGAGAAGATTGAAGAAAAGAAAACACGTGCTCCAATGTAAAATAATTATTTGGGAATCATACTGTTACTACTTTATTACATTAAAGAGAATAATGAGAATCAGTAAGTGTCAACTAACTGTAATTCCTTATAAGTTACTGTGGATACTGGTAGAACAGAATTATTTATAGTATCAATATTTCAGGATTCAAATTGTTGCAGAAAGAAAGCTTGGATTTCTACTTATTTATATTTGTTATATATTTAATTGGTAATTTTTGAGATAAAGTAGTTCTTCTTAAATATTATAGGTAAATTGGATGTTAGCTTCCTGTTTTCTTATTCAAGAGCTGTTTCTAATTACAGATTTTTCAATTGTAGTGAAAACATTTTTACAACTATTTTTACATGATATAATGAAAATTTGCATGTGTCACAGCTGATATCAAACCAAAATCATGCAATAAATTCATGTCATAAACACTATTTTGAGTACTACAAATGAAATTTTTTGTATTTGGTTTAAATTCTACTTATCCTTAATAAGTTTCATTATTCAAAAACGTCATTAATTAAGGAGTTTATAGGGTCACCCTCTCATGACCCAACTCTCTCACTTTACACTTTCCTCTCAATAAACTCTCCTGATTTACTCATACAAAAAAAAGAGTTTAAAGATTATAGAGCTTAATATTTTCACATTATAATCAGTGAAAATATATTGAAAGCCTTTTTTTTTATGGAATTATTTCAAACAGCTATTTATTTGTTTTTGTTGCTGAGGATTGAACTCAGGGTCTCATGCATGCTAAGCATGCACTCTACCACTGAGCAACCCCCCCACACACTATTGAGTTCCCCCCTAGTCTAAAATAATTCTTAATTAGAACAAAATTAGATAATAGAATTCATGTAAATGGTGCATGGGGTTCTTTCTTGTCTTTTCTTTGTTATAGAAACCCGTGAATTCACGAGAATTAGGGGGATAAAGTCTCTATTTTTGTTTCAACCTTCTTGTAATTTAAGTTATGTAACACTGCTAGGATACCAAGACACTGGTCTTCAGTGACTCCAAGCAGTGCTAAGTTTCACTAAATGGGAGGAGGGTTCCCCATTTCCACTTTTTAATTTTTTTTCTCTAATGTCAATGTTACTTATGCTTCTGTGGTTCTGGATTATCTGGATAAGTGCAACCTGAATCTAATAAGCCTTTAATACTGAAAGACTATAAATGAGGATCACCTCTGTCAGTGAGCATGAGAAGAACTGGCTAAATGAGGCCATTATTTAAAAGCTTGTATAAAAGCCATCTCATTTTAGTCTACTATGTCTTGAGACACAGTGACATCACTGTTACTAATTGTATTATCTGAGGTCACTAATGTGTGGTGCTCTTGGAATCTCTCACTTTAAGACTATTTTTTCGGGTTTATGCAGCATTTATTTTCAGTAAAAAGGAAACAAGTGCAGTGTAAAAATAGCTTTTTGCCATTACATTTAAAAATTACTATCACTTTTGTCACATCTAGTCCTTTTTTCAGCTTCTTGAAATATATTAATTTGGCCAAAATAAATCATAGCTAATATTTATTGAATATTTACATTATGCTACTCAGAGTGCTAAAAAACTTACATGTGTTTAACCTTTACACAAAGTTTTTAGGGTAGGTACTGTTACTACTCTTGAAGATACAAATATCCTATTAACTTCTCCAAGGTCTTTTTAAAAATGAGAAGTGTCAGTATTCAGTGTCAGCCATCTGTCTGACTCTTGAACTCATCATACACTTTATTCACCACACTTCTGCAACTTCTGATGCAACTTTTTCAACAACACCCACTTCTCTACCCAATTTTCCTCTTTCCTCCTGCCCCATTCCTCTAGCTTCTGGACACATGTCCTGGTTTTTCATGCTGATTAGCCTCTACTCTTATGCTCAGTTTAGGGCATGCTTTCTGAGATTCCTCACGCACACCTTTGTTGTTGTTGTTGTTGTTGTCGTTGTTTTGGTGGGACTAAGGTCAGGGCCTTGTGCTTATAAAGCAAGCACTCTACCACTTGATCCACACCTTCACTACATTTTTGCTCTGGTTATTTGGAAATAGAGTCTTGTGAACTGTTTGCCCAGGCTGGCTTCAAACCTCGATCCTCTCAATCTCAGCTTCTCAAGTAGCTAATATAGCCACTGTTGCCTGGCTTCCTCCACTTTTTAATATATATGGGCAATGAACTGATTAAACTAGATTTTACTAAATCATAAAACAATATTGACTATTAACACCTTTTCCCCAAATGGCACCTTTTCCCCAAATGCCATTTGCATCTCATGACAACCCGTAAGAACATTTGTATGCTTTATTTGCATTCATACATTAATTTTATCCTCCAAATTGTTGTGGATAGGATTATTCCCATCTCTCATAAAGAAACTGAAGATCAGGAAAGTCAGTGAGCCTAGAACTGCTAATTTTAAATCCTGTCCTTTCCATTAGAGCAGTCTGCCTCCTCCACTTTAAGCTGCTGGTGAAATAGTGCCTTTCAGAATAACTCAAATGACATTGTCCCCTCTCACATTTGGAGTACTAAATTGCAGGAACTGGTCTTATTTTTCCACATTCACAATGAAAAAAATAGTTTGTGACACTTGGTAATCTAGCTATGTTATTTTTTTTCTCTAGCAGTCAGATCTTGAAAGAAGTTGGTAGTGCTACAGGGAACTTCTCAAGTATTCCAACTACTGAGAATACTTAGATATTCTTAGCCAACTAAACTGAGAGTGAGTAGTAGATGTTTTCTGAACCAGTTATAAGGAGGTTATATGCTGGAGATTGACTGAAAAATCCAAACTAAATTATTTAAATATATATGGAATATTTAGGTGATTATAATTTCAACAACTTTAGATAATTAGATAAGTGTAGATTCACTACATGCTGAATTTTTAAGAGATATGAGTAATCAAAGTGGCAGATAACTTAGAAAAAGCTTAATAGATTTGAGAGACATGTTAGGGGTGAAATCAGGAGATGTAATCTCTAGTACAAAGTAATCAATAGAAGAGGAGAGTAATACTTGTTCCAGGGAGAAAGAAAATAAATATCTGACCAATGCTGACAGATAAAATAGCTATCTTCATGAAAGATTGGGAAGAGGGCTCTGAGGAATGAAAGGAATATCAAAATTTACTATGTGGAAGATGGGTGAAATAAAATTTTTTTTTGTCAGAATCCATGAAGACTGGTCTTTTGTAGAGAAGAGGTTTTTGTTTTTTTTTTTTTTTCTCTATGTCTTAAGTTTTTTGTAAAGTACTATTTTAACTACATACCTTTAATGGACATCTGCAGCTACTTTTTTAATATAGAAAATGATAGTACTGTTTAACCTCTTATTTCTCTTACATTTCCTAGGCTGATATGTAGGAGAGTTACAATCATTTGAATTTCATGCATTTTGTGCCTGAGTTTATAAAGTAGGTATGAATTAATGGCTAAGTGAAGAAGGAAGGAAGGGAGGGAGGGAGGAAAAAGAAAAACCTATATTAAAGAAGGAAGTTTTCATAATACTATTGTAAGGCCTATAATCAAATAGTTTTAAGAATATACTTGTTGAAACTTAGATTATTGAGTTGGAAAGAAAAGGAAAAATCTTTAGTTGCCTTGTGTGTTTTTTTTTTTCTTTTTTGTTTTGATTTTTTTTTTTTCTATTTTTTTTCCTTTTTTTTTGGTGCTGGGGACCAAACTCAGTGCCTTGCACTTGCCAGGCAAGGGCTCTTCCACTGAGCTAAATCCCCAACCCCAGGAAAAATCTTTGGGAATTAAGTTCTTATCCACTCAAAAGTTCTGTAGGACTTTAAAAAATTATAAATGATTTAAACTTCAGGATAAATTATTACTGTGGTTTCTTTTCAAAATATAGTCACATCTATTTAAAATATCCTGATTATGTAGTACAATAGAATATTGTTCTGGTTAAAGGAAGCCATTTCATTAAGTTTGCATATTCAATACATCTTAAGAATATTTGCCTCTTTGGATATCCTTAAAGAATTTTTTGAGTTGATTAGGAAAATCCAAACTAAATTACTTAAAAATAGCATATTTAAATGAGTACTAAAATTTTAAACTATTTTAGGTAGCGTGTAGGCACTCTGTGTGCACAATTTCAGGTTGAAAGCTTCTTAAAATATAATTGTGTCTTTAACATTTTTTTTAAGGATAAAGATCAGTTTTGTTCAAGTTTCTATTTTCAAGAATTGAGCTTCACTTTAACTATAATTATGTTTATTAATATAACCTGTTTTTCATTTTATTGTTATTACTTTTACATTCTTAATATTAATACTTACTAAATTTTTGAGAGATATTGAGTATCCCTATTCTATTTCTTTTATTATGGCTTACTTCTAAATTGTGATTTTTTTTTTAAGCGTGCTGATGACATTACAAGTTTAGTAGCAGATACTACACTTCTTGTACACTTTTTTGGAAAGAAAGGAAAAGCTGAACTCAACTTTGAAGATTTTTATAGGTGAGTTGATTTTTTACTGAAAATTGTTCGAAAGATAAAGGTCAGGCCAGCCTTTAGAAATTATCTAGTGCAGTGATAAGTCTGTTACTTTCCTCTCAACTGAAGATGCTGTATAATAAATAGCCACTTTCCTTAGTATCTATGTGCTAGTGATGATACTGAAATTATAACAGAAAGTTAGTTACCGAGTGATAAAAAAAATCTGCATTTCTGGATTGATCGGTATCTCTTATATATTCAGAAGAAACTGTACTGCTAATTCCTTAGTCTCAGTAAGCCACAGTAGCAATAACAAGCAATTTAAGTATCATCAGTACTCTGCAAGGTACTTTATTATCCCCACTTAGCAAACTGGGACACTCAACCCTAAGAGGCTGTTATTTACCAGCTACAACAGTCACACAGTGGTAAAGCCTCTCATGATTTGAAAATTTGCTGTTTTCTTTCCCATTTATAGGAATAAATTTCATGAAATTTTGTGTCCTCATATAAGTAAACTTTTTCCGTATAACCTTTTCTAGGATAGTGAATATTTATCATTTATCTTGTTCATTCTTTATTATACTTTTATCATAGATTCATGGATAACTTACAAACAGAAGTTCTAGAAATAGAATTCCTTTCCTACTCTAATGGAATGAATACTATCAGTGAAGAAGATTTTGCTCATATTCTTTTACGATATACAAATGTGGAAAACACATCAGTATTTTTGGAAAATGTGCGTTACAGTATACCTGAAGAAAAGGTATCTGATCTCTTGTATTTATTTTGTTACATACATTATCTTGTATCTGGTGTTTTTTTATAGGCCTACAAAATACCTTGCCCTTTTGTCAGTTCTCTTGCTTGTCTGATAATTAAAAGATATTTAAATATTTTTTTCCCTAGTTCCTAAGTTCTCTGTCTAAATTTTAAAAATTAATTTTAAATTCTGAGTTAGATATACATTTTTTCTAAGGCATGCTGAAAATCCTTAAGACTATGAGCAGTTTTATTCAAATTTAAATTTAAATTTAGACTATTATTTTTCAAGAGAGTTCTACTGAGTTGCATGCTTTGACTAGTACATAACCATCACTTCATATAAAGCAGTTTATATTGACATTATTTTTGTCAAACTCTTTTCATTTCTATAACACCCCTAATGAAAGGTCATTTAAAGAGTGCCATTGATGAGTGAGTGATCTTATCAGCAGCTGAAGTGAGGCTTTTCAAAGAGTTAGGATGGCATGAATGGCTAAGAACCTGGGGCAGCCTGGTTATCTATTTGTTTAGTAACAAATGTGTTGTCAGCACTTCTGAGCAGTTGCATTATCTAGTGGTTTTTTAATGCATCACTGCAATCAAATAGCCATAAGTATCCTTTAAGCATGGGGTGTTTTGGTTATACTGCCTTCTATTTGTGTTTAACGTTAATCTAGGCAAGAGAAGTTTGCAAATAGTTTGACTTTGTTTAGAATGGATACATTGTGACAGTGTTAACAATTCTCAAGGTACCCTAAGGAATGAGAAAAAAGGACTTGATGCATATAGCTATCAGTTTACATTATCTCTTAAATCAGAGGAATTTCATCTATTTTACCTGTTAAGCTGAATTTTTCCAACCTGTAGATAATTCCCTAAAAATAATATTGGAAATTGTATTACTCAACCTACTATTTAGGGTCTTTAATAATCTGGTTTTTTTTTTTAATTTTTTCTTTTATTAAATGGAAATAGCAAAATTCGTAACCCAGAAAGTTGAGTTCTAGGAATGATGACTTTATGGGAACTCTTTGTAGTTTGTTTACAATTTTTTTATATAGCCATGCTGGTATCAAAGTTGTATTCCTCCTGTCACAGCCACCCAAGTGCTAGGATTACATGTGTGTGTGTTACCACACCATAATTAACTTTTATATCTAAAATTATTTCAAAATAAAGTCTTTTAAGTTAAATTCAGCTTCTGAAAACTTTGATAGAAGTATCTTAAGCACTAAAAATCATTAGAATAGTAATGGGAAAATTTGTACACATTGAGTCTTATTGATTTTATTTCTCCTTGACTACCTCATAAGTCTCAGAACAGCGTTGCAAATTTTGACATTTTTCTTTTGTCATAGGGGAAGCTGAAACTTCTAGTATAAATACTTGTCCAAGGACTCAAACTTAAAATTTTCTAGGCCAGTATTTCTGCCATACCCTAACTTTCCCTTCCTTTCACCTTTCATATTTATCTCTCCAATAGATTAAAAAAAAATTCTACTATTTGAATAACACAGTTCTAAAATGCTTTCATTTTAGGGTTGTCTATGAGAATTTATTTTAGCCACTAATGATAAAGTGGCAAGATAAGCTAACATCCTTTTATATCAAGTGGAAAGGTAAAATAAATAAGACCACAAAAATAAATGATATGCTTTCAGATAATAATAATAAATATTATGAAGAGAACAAAAACTCATGGTGACTAGAAAAGACTGTAGGCTCTTAGGGAGAGCTCTTATGAAGAGGGAGAGTTTGAAGAGTCTGTGAGGAATGAACTTTGCAGAGATGTGGATGAAGAGCATTTCAGTCAGTAAATACCATGTCCTGGGGAAGGAAAAGTTTAGTTTAAGTGAGAAAATGCCAAAAGATATAAGTAAACAGAAAAGTAATAAGTTATGATAAAGCAAAGACAGCTATGGGTCAGACCTTATAGGACCCTATAGAAAAAAGAAAGGAGTTTAGATTTTATTCTAGTAGTGACAGAGTAATGGAAAGCTGTTATAGTATTTAAATTTTAAAGCAAGGGTCAGAAAACTACCCCTACTTCCTGCTTTTATAAGTAATGTCTTTCTAGAACATAGCCCTGTTCACTCATTTGATTTATTGTCTTCAACTGCCTTTGCATCATAATAGTAAGGTTAAGTATGTTGAAACAGAAGCCATACAGCAAGCAAATTGAATAATATTTAGTTTCTAGCCCTTTGCAGAAAAAACTTGCCAACCTTGCTTTAGAGCAAAGGGATGACATCCATTCATTCAAGTATTTATTCAACAAGTATTGACTTTTTTTTTTCTGTGATACTGGGGCTTGAACTCAGGGCCTTCACCTTGAGCCCCTCCACTAGCCCTATTTTTGTGAAGGGTTTTTCAAGATAGAATCTCACAGAACTATTTGCCTGGCTGGCTTCGAACCATGATCCTCCTGATCTCTCCCTCCTGAATAGCTAGGATTAGAGACGTAAGCCACAGATACCCAGCTCCAACAATCATTCTTATCAGCCTCTTCCTTTCTAGACTTTTGAATTCTGTCTACCACTTGTCCTGTCTGTCATCCCTTTTCCAGGTGGATATGGAGTGTATGTGTCTAAATCTTCCAACAAATGCTACCATCACCAGGGAAGCCACTCTAGTCCAACAGGGTAGGGGAACAAAGTCAGTTTCTGTGCTGGTCCCTCAGGGAATCACCAGAGAGGTCATCATCACATACTATATTTAAGAACAAGGTTCATGTGATCCCCCTGAAACCAGCAAGCCACACCAGGAATGCCAGCCACCATCCCCAGGTTCACTGCCCTAGCACTAAAAAAATAATTAATGCAAGTTCAATGGATGAAAGCATCACAACACTCTGTCAGTGAATTTTAGCCACCCTCTTATCCTTTACCCAAGCCCCTGCTTACTGTAAATTTTGGACTAGATTCCAGAATTCAAGAAAAAATTCTGTCAGTCTTTCACAGTATATGCTTATTTCCATGGAGAGACCAATTCTTTTTTTTTATTCATATGTGCATACAATTCTTGGATCATTTCTCCCCCCTGCCCCCACCCTCTTCCTTACCACCCACTCCGCCCCCTCCCTCTCCCCCCCAGCCCTCGATACCCGGCAGAAACTATTTTGCCCTTATCTTTAATTTCGTTGAAGAGAGAGTATAAGCAATAATAGGAAGGAACAAGGGTTTTTGCTAGTTGAGATAAGGATAGCTATACAGGGAGTTGAGACTAATTCTTTAAGCATGCTACTCTGCCATTTTTTATAATGTCACTCCCCCATTCTCCTTCTAGACTTTTAACAGTTATTTTAGGCTTACAGACTTGTCACAGTGGGTGGTTATGTCCATTTAATTGGCAGCTACTGCCATGGCTATAGAGAACAAGCACATTTTCAGTCTCATTAACAGTGTAATTATAACTAGCAGTTTGATGTCCACGACTTCTTCTGGTTTGTCTTTTTATTGAATTGTAGTTTTTCCACTTATTACCACTGTTTAAATGTATCTATAAATACGTGTTTATATTGTGAATAAACAGTTCAATAAATATGTGATTTTATTGTGGTAAAATACACATAGCACAAAATTTGCTATTTTATCCACTTTAAAGTATAAATTCAGTGGCATTAAGTGCAGTCACAGTATTGGGCAACTGCCATCACTGTCTAGTTCTCGAGCTTTTTCATCCTTGCAGTAGTCACTGCCTATTCTCCTTCCCCTCAGTCCTTGGCAACTCCCAATCTGTTCTCTGTCTTCATCAGTTTGCCTGATACAGATACTTCATGTAAGTGGAATCATGCAATATGTGGCTTTTTGTTTCTGACTTGTTTTACTCATGATAACTTCTTTAAGGTTCATCCATATTGTAGTATCCGCACTTTGTTCCTTTTTATTGCCAAATAATAATCCATTATGTGGATATATATACTGCACTTTGCTGTCTTTTTGTCAATCGTTGAACATTTGAGTTGTTTCCAGTTGGTTTTTATGAACCTTGTGTACAATCTTTTGTGTGAACATATATTTTCAGTTTCCAAGAGAAATATCTAGGAAACATGGTAACACTATGTTTAACATTTTGAGGAACTCCAAATTGTTTTCCAAAGTAGCTATTTCATTTTTACAATCCCATTGGCAATGTATGAGGTTTTTAATTTCCCTGTGTCTTTGTTAACACTTGTTATTTTCTACCTTTTTGGTATAGGCATTCTATATGGATGTGGATGTAAAATGATATCTCACTGTGGTTTTGACTTGTATTTCCCCAGTGAGTAATTATGCTCAACACTTTATGTATGGGTTAGCGATTTATAAATCTTCTTTGGAGAATGTCTGTTTAAATCCTTTACCTATTTTTTAATTGGGTTGTCTTTTTGTTACTGATTTGTGAGAATTCTTTATATATTATGTATACTAGATCTTTGTAAGATATATGATTTACAAGGTTTTTTTTCCTCACATTTGGTTTTTTCTCTCATTTTTATCTTTTCACTTTCTTGATAACATCCCTGATACCAACAAGTTTATAATTTTGATAGGTCATGAAATTTTGTCATAGAACATGAAGTTTTATCTTTAGTTTTTTTTGTAAGAGTTTTATAGTTGCAGTTTTAAAATTTAGATATTTGATTAATTTTAAATTAATTTGTGTAAATGATGTGAAGTAAGAATTTGCCTTCTTCCTTTTGTGTATGGATATGCAGTTACCCTGCAACATTTGTTGAAGAGACAGTTCTTTCCTCAATAAATGGTCCCTTTATTAAAAATCAGTGTGAGTTTATTTCTGTACTTCAATATTATGTATTCTTTAAAAGTTTTTTCAATTATTATCATTGCCTTATTTTTGTTAGCACATAAGCTGCTACTTTTCAACTTAACTCTTAACAGGATCCATTACCAGTACTTCACTGTGGCAGTAATTCTAGATGTCAGAGTAGAGGGAAAGGAAATATCTACCTCCCTTTTTTCCCTCCTCCACTGTCTGTCCCTCACTGTTGTTAAAGATGATTGTTTTAAATTATCTCTTTCAAAATAAATGCCCCATTTTTGTACTGTTTCATGTTTTTCAAACACAAAGTATTTAATCTATAAAAAAAGATTATTGTATGGTTTTGAATTTTATTTGACTTTCCAAACACTGAGAACCACAGTTTGAAAAATCTAAAGGTCAGATGTCATTCTTTGATTGGTTTCTAAATTTCATTTTTCTCAGAAGTGTTGAAATTTGCCAGGCACAGTCACTAAAGCCTGTAATCCTAACTACTCAGAGATTGGGAGGATTGCTGTTCAAGACTAGCCGAAATGAAAAGTTTTCAAGATTCCATCTCAGTCAGTAAAACTGGGAGTGGCACACACTTGTCAACCCAGCTACTCAGTAAGTGTAAATAGAAGGGTCACAGTCCAGGCTGGCCTGGGCATAAATGGTGAGACCCTATCAAAAAAAAAGTAAATAGGTCTGGGGGCATGACTCAAGTGGTAAGTGCCTTCATAGCAAGCCTAAGGCCCTGAGTTCAAACCCCAAAATATCCCTCTTCCTTTTCTTTTTTTTTGTAACTTGTCATTCTGAGATGGAAGCTATTGCAGTGGCACCTGATCATAGCATCCAACTGCTAGGGAACTGGAGCAGTGATCAGTTTCCCTGGCAACGAGCTTTCTGCATCTAAATCTATCCTTCTGACCCAGGTGCCCTAACTGATTCCAACAGCCCTCTTTAGAAAAATGACAGGTTCCCACGGCAGGTTCAGGCCACAAAGCAGAATCCAGGACGACTGTAGTTAGTGTCCATTAAATGAATCCAAGGAAAAGAGAACAGAAAACTGTGAAGAGGAAAAAAAGTAAGGACTCTCATGTCACAAAGAAAAGATGGGTAATAATTGAAATAGAAATAGTATTTACCAAAAGTTGGATATTTTGGTAATGAATCATATAATCAGAAGTTAGCTTACATGAAAATAGACTCCTTATTCTTCCTCTGGCTTTCCAGCACTGCCTTAATTCATGTTCTTTCCTCTCTTACCCATGTATAAAGTCAGAATTTGTTAAGCCTAAGCTTATGGACCTATGCTTTTTTTTCTCTACATACTTTCTCTACTAGGCTAATTTTGTTGAGAACACAGTTAACTCGTCATGTCCAAATCTGTATTCTGAGATACAGCCTACTTATTTAAATAACTTTTCTATGAATTAAAGTAGTATCAGTTGTAGCAGTTATACCTTATGTACATGACATTTCAAAAGAAGCCACTGTGACCCCATCCTTAACATGATCTTATGTCAAGACCTGTGTGAACCTTCCACTACTATTTCTATTCAGTCAGTTATTGTACATCCTCCTGCAGTCTTGACAGTGTTATCATGACCAGAACAAGTTCAAATAGATTTTGCATTGTCATTTTAAAGACATTAATGAAATCATGCTGAATCATATTTAAGGAGTACATATGAAATATATTTTTATGGGTTTTTTTTCTTAATACATTTTCAGGATTAAAAAAAATCAGGCTTTACCACTTTTATTTTAGAACTTTGTGCTGATATGACAGTTTTTAAAAAATATTCACCTATTGTTGTAATGGTAGCAATACTACCCAGGAAATAAGTCTGAATCTTACATTCCATTTGGAGAAAACATTTTGGAAATGTGCCCTGGAAATTTGTTTACTTACAAGATATACTGTAGATACTTAATCTGTTTTCTTCTATTAAGTGTATTATACTTACTTTAATAAATTTGGCAATGCTAATTGTGTTTACATTTATTTTCTCAAAATAGGGCATCACATTTGATGAGTTCAGGTCATTTTTCCAGTTTCTGAATAACCTAGAAGACTTTGCAATAGCCCTCAATATGTATAATTTTGCAAGTCGTTCTATAGGACAAGGTAAGTATTCATTCTTCAAAAGTTAAAAGCAAGCTGGGCACAGTTGCCCAAACCTATAATCCTCAGTACTTATGAGACAGAGATTGGAAGGATCAAAATTCAAGGCCAGTATGGGCAAAAACATTTATGAGACTCCATCTCAACCATTGACTAGGTGTGGTGGTATATGCCTGTCATCTCAGATATGTGAGGAAGCAATAATAGGAGGATTGTGATCCAGGACAGCCCCAGCATAAAGTAAGATCCTTTTTTGCTCTTAATTTCATATTATAGCAAAAAATTAATGATGTTTAAGAAATTCAAAGAAGAAACTTCACTAACATTGAGAGACATTTGTCTACCAATAGAAGAGTCAGCTGGCCATGCCTCAGAAATTCTCTCAGAATGGTATTTCTTTTACTGATTTAATCCCTGACGACTCAATAATCGGAAATTTGTCAGCAAAGCCACCTCTTAGCCATGAACTTACAATAACTGATTGTAGTAGACTGAGACAAAAATACCTGACATAAACAACTCAAGGGAGGAAGGATTTATTTTGGCTCATAATTTCAGAAGTTTCAGTCCAAAATAGCTCACATCATGGCAACCTGGAAACAAGGAAAAGCATTCCTGTGCTAATGGGCTTCCTCCTTCCTTCCCTTTTTATTTCATCAGGACCCCAGTTTATGTGATGGTGTGTCACATTAAGGATTAATCTTAATTTTAGTTAATCTTCTCTGGAAACACCCTCATGGACACACCCAGAAGAGTGCTTTACTAATCTCCTAGGCACTTCTTAATCCAGTCACATTGACAGTCAAGATAACCATCACACCAACTTTGGAGAATGATATATAAGGATGAATATCAGTTTGGCTGGATTTACAAAGCACAACTGTCCTAGAATACTGTGTATGGTGGTCTTAGAACTAGCTTCTCCGTTCCTTATAGGTTGGCTAACGAGTCAACTCCTTTTTCTAGGATTCTGTGGCTATAATTATCTCTCCTCTCATGGCCATATCCTTTTTTAAAATTCTTGCCATATGGGAACTTTCTATTTAGGTCTGTAAGGTGATTTTACCCATTTCAGCCATAATCCATACCTAATATATGGCTCTGCCATAATCCAATAATGAAGCTCAAATCTCAGAAGACCGCTTGGGTTTTTTATTACCAAATTCCAAGGAGAAGCTAAACTACAGTCCTTTAATGCTGATGATAATCATCTCAAAAATGTAGAGGGCAAGCGTGCACCACTGGCTCGTACCTATAATCCTAGCTATTCAGGAGGCAGAGATCAGGAGGATCGCAGTTCAAAGCCAACCCGGCAAATAGTTCTCGAGACCCTATGTCAAAAAACCCTTCACAAAAACAGGGCTGGTGGAGTCGCTCAAGCTGTCACTCTTTTGCATGTTGAGCAAAAGAAACCTGGAAAAAACTCGTATTTCATCCTTTCTCTAGACTAGATGCTTAAATGTGTTATCTTCCCAACCCATTTTTAGTGTTTTAAAGTGAAAAGTTTTAGCAGCCATGCTTTCACAAACAAGCCTTTAGTAGTATGATAAGCCTTTTTAAAAAATCAATAACACCTTACTTGGTTCACAATAGAATATTGCTTTTTGTAGTACTGGAAGATGGAGAAAATGGTGTCACTTTTCAAAGTGCTAGGAATGTATCCATATGTTTCTTTTGCCACCATTAGCATTCTAATTTGAGTTACTTCTTTAAAGGACTATTATAGTAGCCACCTCAGTAAATTCCTGCCATTAGCTATTTTCCATCCTGGTGTTTCCTAAACAACTCTCAGAAGAATCTTCCTAAAACACAAATTACTCTTTTCTCTTGACATACCTGCTATGGAAACTCTAAAGTTTCCCAATTTCCTATCAAAGAATACAGGTTCTTCACCTTGGAGTCTGTGCAGCGCATCTCCAAATCCTTAATGTTCTCTGTGCTCTACCCAATCCTAACTGTACATTATTTTCTGAATGTGCTTTGTACTGTCTTGGCTCCTCTCATACCCCATGTTCATTCGTCATCTTGTCTCTTTAGTGCTTAGCTCAAATACAAATTACAGCCTTTCCAAGATCACGGCCTTTTTCCAATTCTGTCTCTACTCCACAGTGCTGGCAGAAGTAATCATTCTTCTCCACATTCTCATTGTATTCTGTTGGTACTTTTTGTGTAGCCCTGTGTGATGGCTATTTGGGCAGGTGTCTTATCTCTCAGTTGGAGTGTTTGTTGAGAACTTATTTATCTTAATAATCTCTAAAATATTTGTTACCAGTACTAGATGCTTACTAAACATTCATTGGTTGTGAATATATTAACCTAGAATACAGCTGCTTCTTGCTTTTTTAAAATTAAAACCACAAAATATCTTCTTATTCCCTAAAAGACAGCATGATTAATCAAAAGTCACATGTTATATATATAAATCATGGCCCATGTTAGAAAACAACTTCATTTATAACCTTTTCTAGTAATTAATATATACTAAAAAATAATGTTAATGGTCTACTCTTTTTTATGTGGCATTTATCTAGATGAATTTAAACGTGCTGTCTACGTAGCTACTGGACTCAAACTTTCACCACATTTAGTGAACACTGTCTTCAAGATTTTTGATGTTGACAAAGATGATCAATTAAGTTATAAAGAATTTATTGGAATTATGAAAGACAGACTCCATAGAGGATTCCGGGTAAACCTACAAATTTCAAGCCTTTTGATATCCTTTTTTAAAAAAGTCTAAGGGAAAAAAAATCTCAGAAACAATTTATGTAAAATTTTAAGGATATAAACATTAATACTTTATTTGGAAAGAAAAATCATTGACATTACCTACTTTCAAAACAACTGCGGTGATAAAAGATAATGCTTTTTTAAAACTATAAAGTCAGTTTGACTTTCAAAAATTAATTTTCATATTCAATTAGCTTAATTAATGTCTTCATGCAGTTCTGGGGGAAAAAGTGTTGCCAGATATTTGTGAAAAATCCAGTTTACACATTGGCCTTTCAGACTTGATAATATATAAATAAATATCACTGTTTCTCATTTTATGTGAGATGCATTTCCTCTTGTCAACTTGAGGCTCTTACATCACTACATATTCATTACTGTTTATAAGGAAAATAGATTTAAAATAATTTTTGTCTGTTGAATTATTTTTCCTGTTAATATACTAAATATTAATTACTAGAAATTCAGTGATTATTTTCTAAAAAGCATGTTTAAAGCTTCAAATGTAGTGTGACCCAATACATACCTATATGTCTAACATATTTGTGGATGTGCAATGAATGGAAAAAAATTAAATCCTATTAAAATTAACAGCTACTATACTCAGTCTTCCTGTTTGGCAAGGATATCCCTAAGTATTATGCATGTAAGCACAGAAAAATCTACGTATAGCAAAATGAAGATCTTCGACAATGTATCTTAAAGATTTATGATGACTTTAAATCCAGGCTGTCTTCCTAAAGATGATGTGTACTTACCTGCCACCTAGTGGTTCAATGTTAACATTTCAGATGTTGCCACAAACACCAAAAGCATATACATTGAAAATCATTTATTTTTCCTCAAAAAGTTTAGGGTAACAATATCAAGTTAAATATAAACTGTCATAAACCTTTTAAAGTGTATTTCCCACTTAAGTGTTACTGTTTTGGTGTTATTTTATTCATTTATGTATTTATTGCATACCTATAGCTGCATAGCATTTTACTTATATTTTCACACTTTTTAAAATTCATTTTCATTTTTGGGGTGTGGCGACTCATACCTATAGTCTCAGCTATAAGGAGGTATAAATTGGAGGGATCACCATTTGAGGCCAGCCCAGCAAAAAGTTATCTAGTGAGACCCCATGTCAATTAATAAAAAGTTGGGCATGGTGGTGTACACCTGTCATCCCAGCTAAGTGAGAGATGTCCAGTGGGACATCTGTGTGGGATCCCAGTCCATGCCGCACTGAGGCATAAACACAGACAGACCCTTAAAAAAATAGGGCATGGGATGTAGCTGAAGTGGTAACGTAACCTGCCTGGCTAGAAGCTCAATGTCCTGAGTTCAAAGTCCAGTGCTGCATTTTTAACTAATGCAGCAAATGACTAATTATACATATTTATGGGGTACAAGGTGATGTTTTTATGTATGTATACATTGTGAAAAAAATGGTATCAAGTATTAACATATCCATTATCTCATTTTTTTATAATGAGAGCCTTTTAAATCTATTTTGAACAATTTTGAAATATACATGATAATTAACTGTGGTTGCTATTCTATGCAGTTGGTTTTGAAAACTTATTCCTCCTGTTTTCCTGGAACTTTGTGTCATTTGGTCTCCTTCTTCCTGTCCCCCATCAGTCCTCCCAACCTCTACCATTCTACTCTACTTCTATAAATTTGACTATTTTAGATTACACATAAAAGTGAAATCATGCTGATTTTTTCTTTCTATACATTTGAACACTTTTGATCCTCTGTTCCATAGGGTTATAAAACAGTCCAGAAGTATCCCACTTTCAAATCCTGCCTGAAAAAAGAACTTCATAGCAGATAAGTATGTTAACTTCTTTTTTGTCTTAATTTGTCCAGTAACAATAAGGGATGAGGCATAATTTATTTTCCGTTATAACATTTAGGAAATAGCTGGAAAAGGGATAGGGCATGACTTAGTTGTAGAGCATGTGAGAGGCTTGAGTTCCATCCCCAGCAAAAAAAAAAAAAGAGGAAAATTGCTGAAAGAAATATAGTTATAATCTATGGTTTCTTTTTAGGCCACTAGAGTGTTTTGATTTTAAAACTTTTATGTTAAACTTTCCAGTTTTATACCTGAGCACATACAATATAATGAATGCCAATTGTACTTTTTAATACAGATTTTGTAATATTAGGTACTCATTTGTACTTAAGGAATATTTGTTACTATTGTGGGGGTGGTCATTATTCTGAATTTCTACTACAAAAACAGCAGCTGAGTTCTTAAAGAATTGCTTTAGGCACTAGACTAAATAGTCTTCCACTTGTAGTACCTCATTTAATGCGCACAGAAATATCCCATTTAACAACATAGAAAAGTTAAGGGTTAGCATGTAACTTCTTCAAGATAACTTGTTAGTAGGTGACATACCAGGATTTGAATTTCACTGTTACTGATGGCAAACCATCTTATTTGTGATTTACTATACTACCACCATAAATTGTAATAATTGAGGACAATTCAGGGAATCTGTTCTATCTGTACTTACCCAAGAAATATCTCAAAGTTGTTGCTAATCTCTAAGGTGAAGAGTTTGATTTCTTTTTTTCTTTGAAAATCAACTGCAGCTATGTAATTTTAGTCAGTTGGGGATTCTGATTAGTTAGGTTTCTAAATTAGAGGTTTGTTGTTGATTTAAATATGAGTGCAAATACATTAATGTATATGTTTCTTTCTATTTTCCTCAAGTTTGAAACATTTCATATATTTTTCCAAAGTGGTTCCTTGGGATTTCAATCCATATCTTTCTAAACAACAAACAAAAAAGTTGCTTAGTCAAGTTCGAAAAATATAATAGAAATGGTTAAATAGGTTCCTTCCTAATAGAATTATCAAATCTTAATATGCTAGTATTTATTTTGCCTTTCTAAAAGGAAACTGTACTAATCAGGATTTGGGAAAGTTGCTGAGAGAGCTAGTGTTTTATGGAATCCACTTTGGGAAATATTGGTCTCAAATATTTTGAGGCAAAGAGCTTATTTATGTGTCAGAACCAAGGAACCAAGTTCTTTCTAATTTCTGTTTTAAGGATTGTTATACTGCCTTAGGAGAACTTAAATAACACATTTAAAAAGTAGGACCTTCCTATTAACCAACCTGTAATAGCATCATTCTGATGCACCTGATTCTACATATCAGTGATTAGAACCAGAGCTAGAAGTGACTTCTTTTTTCTAGACCTTTCTAATGACTAGAAAGAAATTTCTAAACAAAACATAGAACTTTAGAATTGAAGGAAAGGTTTTGCAATTAAGCATGTGCTGTTTATATTTTGTGTGGGGTGCTTTTATTATGTGCCTTACTGTTTCATATTATTTTCATAAGAATTTTAATTAATGCCATCACTAATGAGCTATATCCTAAATGAAATATTGCTTTTGTGTTGTGTTTTTGAAATTAGATATTCCTAAAGCAAAGTTTAAAGGATTATTATTTGTACAACAAATGAAAGAAGCAAAAATTTCTGAGAGTGGAAGCAGGTCTGAAGTCAGAAAATGTAGATAATGAAGGAAAAGGTGAAATGCTATGAAATTTAAATTTTTTCTTGCACTAAATTTTTAAAAAGACACAATGCATCTTCTTACTACAAATGCTAAAACATAATCAAGTTAAGCTTTTGCCTTGATTTACTGAACTCTGCATTTTTCATTCCCTTCAGAAGTACTTCCAGTGACTACATGAGAATGTATTTAAAGTTTTTTATTTATTTATTAGAAATTTGTTTTATTTCAAAATGCTCTGGTTTCTTTTCAGGTTGTATAAATCTTTTGCCTTTTTCAAAATAATTTATAACTCAGACCATAGACCACTTAAAATGAACAACATATTTTCTTTTGGTTTGGGCTGTGAAATTTTTTTTAACAAACAAATATTACTTCAGATTTGTCTTACGGCTCTTGGAATTGTTAATAAATCCCTATTATTTGCCAGATTTTTAATTATATTGAAATAATTTTGGAAAACAAGTAGAAATTAAGCTACTAAATAATGTGATGGTTTACATTGTACTTTTTGCTTTTTAAAAGTAAATATATTGTTTGACTTGTGCAAATTTGTTTTGTTTTGGTGTTCATTTTTTGCTTTTTGCTTTGTTTTTGTTCACTTGCCAAAGCCAAGAGAGTGAAGAGATTTAAATGTCAGGTTCTTATTCTCAAAAAAAGTAAATAAAAGTCATGCATTGATGTAGAAGTAGGGGGAGTTGTTATCACAGTAGTCTCTGTCATTGTTTCAAACACAATGCTGCTCCTGATTGAAGGTGGTATATATTAATGACACTAGTAAAAATAATATCTTACAGCTCCGTAACTTATTGTATATTGTTAATATATGTCAGTAGCACCAAAACATAAAAGAATAATCTAAAATGGTTTAGAAGACTGATTGATGTGTATTTAGGTAGAAGGTAAATACTAAAAGGACCACATGCAAAAGTGATGCAAACAGCCAGTAATAATGGATCATTTCAAAACAATATGTCTTAAAAGGGAAAATAAAAGCTTTCTATTAAAAACCACAAAATTAGATTTTTCACTTTGAGAAATAATTTAGTCCATGTTTAAATTTGTTTAACTAAAACCATTTAGTTTATACAAGGGTACTATATGAAAATAATACAATGAATTTAAAAGGTTAATATATTTATAATTTGCATGTGGAAGGTAAACTCATTTATCTTCCTTTCTAAGACATATTTAATGTAAATTAAATATACTCCATTACCTTGCTTTTGCATATGAAAATAGGAAATACTCACTTTGTTTTTTTAAGTTATTAACTGTGAAAATATTTATAAAATAATGTTATTTCTAAGAAAATGTTGTTAGGGTTGATTTTTGTTAGTTTTTTTACATTCTTTGATATTATTTATTATATCAGCATAGAAATATAGATTCATAGTTTAAGAATCCCAAACAGTATAATAATTTAATTTTACCTTTGAAAGTCAATTGATTAACTAGAAACCATATCTGCTTATTTATTGTCTTTGCAAAGAATTAAGATATCCATGAAATTTTAGAATTATACTTTTTACAGAAAGCCTGTGTGATAAAAATGGTTGCACTTTACACTGAATGTTATTAATATTTATTATGTAAAATAATTGAAAAAATATATTTCAGTCTTTGACTATAAGTTATATTATCTTATGTACATGGAAAATCTTGTAAGTATACGTTAAAAATTGAATTAGGCTATTTAAAAACCTTTAAAATCCTGTCATTTTCCCAAGAAGAAACACCATGCCACATATATAATTATTGTTCTTTATTTCTTATCAGAGTGATTGGGTGAATATCTGTTTACAAGGCTACAACATAATATAAAAATGACAATAACTAAAATACTCTGATGAATTAAAATGTAGAGAATAGTAAATTACAGTGATCCTCTACGTCCTTTATAGTGTCACTCTTGAACTCTGTCATCTATAAAATTGGAGGTAAAGATATCTTACTGAATTGTTTCCTAATTTAAATAATTAAAAATGCTTTACACATAATGTACTAAATACATTGATGCTGTTTTCAGCATTTCCTTCTACAGATATTCTTTGGAAAGATTAAGCTATCCATGAAATTTTAGAATTATACTTTTTATAGAAAGCTTATGTGATGAAAATGGTATGGTGTACTTCTTAGAATCATTTTATAATAAATTAACTTAAATCACAGTTAATTGTTCTTACTGTAAATTATAATTGTAAAACTATGTGTCTTGTGTTCTTATATATCTTAAAATAAATTTATCTGCCCTTGAATCAAGAAACATTGTAATTTACTTTTTAAAATCTTTTTTATTTATTTTTTGATTGAACCTAAGGCTTTACCACTTGAACTACACTCCATGCCCCTCTTGTTTTTTTTTTTTTTTTTTTTTTTTTTGATTTTAAGGTAGAGTCTCACTAATTTTTGTTTAGGCTGGCCTTGAATTTATGATCCTCCTGTTTGCCCCCAGTAGCTGGGATTACAGGTGAGTACCACCAAGCCCAGCTGTAGTTTGCTTCTATGTATACCTGTGAACTAATGTCTTTCCAAAACTGTCACACACAAACTTTGGAAATGTTTGAGAGTCATCACTGATCTTATACCCTCTTCTGTCACAGCACATGTCAATGAAATTGACCTCACAAACACCTTTTTAAGTCAGCAAATTGCAGAGCCTCTAGACGTACATCATTAGTATTAGAAAGCTTTTCAGAAAGTTTACATATGATTTAATGGAGCATCAATTTTGTGTCACATAACTGATTGTTTAAATGGCTTAAAATAATTAAACCAAAACTATAGTAGCCCATTTTACTAATATTGATATTTTGTAAGTACCATTTGTAAGTACAAGAAATTTGCTAGTTTTCAAAACATATTAGTTATTATCATATTTCTTTTGTTTTTTGCTTTTATCAGACTGAGTATTGCTATGTGCCCTAGGCTGCCTAGAACTTCGGAACTCAAGCAATCCTCCTGCCTCAGCCTCTGGAGTGCTGGACTGCGGTGTGAGCCACCATGCTTTATCCTACTTCTTATAGCCATGCAGTAAATTAACACCTTTTAAAAGCAGAATACTTTTATTTTCAAAGAATGTAAGAATGTGAATTATGTAATATTTAGTAAATAAAATTAAAATTCTAGTGATGTGAAATCACTGTTTTTTTATTGACAGCATTTTAACTTTCTTAGTACCTCATGAAGTAATGGTTCATCCTTCAGTTATACATCTTAGATTCTGTGAAATAATTGCATTTATATGTTTGTTCTCTCTTTTTAATTTTATTAGAATTTCTGTTGTTTAATATTGAACCCCTAAACAGAATTTAAATCAAACCATCCTATTTACATTGCAGTTTTCAGCGGTACCAGGATCCTTCACTTCTTAAGCCTTTTGGGAACTCTACATTGGGAATTTGCCTCTTCAGGAAGTCTCCTGTTACAGGCATTTTAGTTCTGTTTGGTGTATTAAGTTAATTTCCATCTGTTTTTGAGATTTAAAAAGTTTGTTCCTGTACTTTCCTTTCTGATTTTTTTGTGCTTAAAGAAAGATAGCTTTACTTTTTTAAAAGATCCTGTTTCTGTCAATTTAGTATTATTTCAAGAGGAAGTAAGGAAAAATGTGTCTAACACAACATAAAGAATTAAACTTCATATATAAAATATATCTGGAAGTACCCACAAGGAACTTAAGAATGGTTACCTTTGACGATAGGGGCCATAGTTACATTTAGTGAACTGCCACTGAACTCATTGAGTGTTTTTTAACACAATTATTTTCACTTTTCCCAAAAAAAGCACTTTTTTTGAACCTTAGGATCTCAGTCAATAAAAGTGAGAATAAACGTGAAGATCACATGTTGGATGGATTTAGTCACCAAATTCAGAGTTAGACTACTTCCCGAAACAGAAAGAGATAAGTCTCAAGAAAAAGTATAATGACAAATGTGAACTTACAGGACATCACATAGTTTTAGCTTGGATGGTAGCTCTAGGAATTAACTGAACATAGGTGGAAATCATTTACTAGATTTTACTAAGCTATAAATGATAGATACATTATCTGGCAAAACATTCTATTTATGTTTACTACAAGAGACAATTGAACTTGATTGTTTCAGTTCAGTATAGTATTTCCCATATACATACTTTTCAAGCAAGTAGCTTGAAACAAGTTGATGAAGCAGGTAGCTTAAAGGTAAGCAGAGTAGTCTGCTAGCAGGTTTAAAATGAGGTAAAATGAGAATTTAGCACAGAATGAAAGACAATAAAGATATTTCCAGTCTATGCTATATATTGCCTCAGCAAGCTCTAGGTGCTATAAGAATTAAAAGTTCAGACTGAAAAACCTACAAAAAAGCACTCTGAAAATCTATACTTTTTTTATGTCATTTCTCTTTGGTGCTAAGAGGTTCTCAAGAAAGTGAGTATCTTATATATCATTTGTGCTGTAATATTTAATTACAGTGAGTGTACAGAAGATTAGCTGTTTCAAAGATTCTTTTGAAATCAGATTGTACCTCAGAACTATATTGTGCCTGCTAAGTAAGCAAATTTAAGAAAGGGGAGAAGTTGATGTCAAGACTTATTGCAAAATGAACAAATAAAGCAATAGGATTTGCTAGTTCAGCCTATGAAAGCATAGACAATTGTCAGCCATCATTTGCCAACTTAAATATTTTTTTCTAAAATTTACAAAGATTTGGTCCATGGAAAGTATCTTTTAACTACTATTTGGGCTGAAAAAGAAATTAAGCAACAAGAAAATGCTAAATAAATTATACTAACAACTCAATTTCCCATACTGATTGACATATATGTTAATTGTTCACATAAAGATACTTTTGATTATAAAATTAATACTTGTGCTTTTACTACCAGACACAAGGTTTTTAACTTACTTTAACTTTCACTCCAAAAGTGCTAGACTCCCCCAAATACAACATACACTCAAGGATTTCTAGTCTCCAGAGATTTTTTTCCCCTTCAAAAATTACAAAAAAAAAATTTTTTTATTCAAGAACTGAGCTCCAAGTGGCCAAGTTACCTAGAACCTGTATTGGACTTTCTAGAAATAACCAGGAACCAGACCACTTAAGGGAAGGTTCCCAAACAGAACAATGGAGTTCACAGGTAGTTGGAACTGGAATGGTAGGCTTTAGGGAGAGGTTGGATTTCCCTGAAGCCAGAGTGCTATACTAACAGTGTGTGGGCAAAGGGAGCTTTAAAACAGCAGTGAGACCCCCTCCTCTGAGTTAAAACCTTTCAGGGGTCTTGGAGGGTTCTGAGGTAAGTGTATACGGGCACACACACACAACTGCTGAAGCAGAAGAATCAATCCCATAAGACTCTCATAGATCAGGCATAATCTTTTTTTCTTCTTTTTTTTTTTGTAATACTGGAGTATGAACCTAAGACCCAGCAGATGATAGGCATGCACTGTACTACTGAGCTATATCCCAAAGTCCAAACATGATCTTTTAAAGAAAGGTTACTAAATACAGGAAAGGCCAGCCACTATGAGTCAGAACCAATAGTAACAATAAATTTAGACCCTAAGAATGCAGATATTGGAACTGAATACAAAAATAAGAAAGAGCTGTGTATGAAATAAACCATGGAATTGCAAATATGATTACATAAACAACTACAGGTGTTAAACAGATAAGCTTATTAAATGGAATTGCTAGAAATAAAAAATTTAATAAATAAAAATGTCACTGGAGAGTTTTTGTTCCAGCCATGACTTGAGTAACTTCTACCACAAACAAACACAGCATAGTACAACAAACAGTTCAGGACTTTGATACTTGCCTGAAAGAAAGGAAAACCATGTGGTGACCTCTACATTCATTCTGGCTTTTTCCTTCGAGTACATTCTAAACTGTATTACAAAGAATTGGAGTCCAAACAGAAAGGTTCATAGGATGGCAAAAATGAGGCCAGAATCTGGGGGACATGGTTCAAGTGGTAGAAGACTTGCCTAGCAAGTGTGACACCCTGAGTTGAAACTCCAGTATCTCCAAAAAGGTTAACTTAGGTAGCTAAAATTTTGGGAGAGAAAGAAGCTGTGTAGGGAAGCACCAAAAATCTAAGAGACCTCAGTCTTTGATTGAATATTAAGATGTACAGAAGCAGGCAAAGACCCCATGAGACACGGCAGAAAACAACTCCTGCAGGTCACACAGTACTGAGACACATCAGAGTTCAAATAAGTCAAAATATAAAAGTGTCACTGAACGACCCAAGTATTAAAGTCACATGTTAGGAGTAAGAGTACTTAGGAGTACTCTAGCTCTAGAGTGAGGATGACTCTGGACCCATCCTAAAATTAGTCCTCCACAGGATCAAACTGATCCACTGGCATAGTAACTGCCTGCCAAAATGCAGTAGGAGACAACAAAATCCCTAATTCAACAATGTAGTATTCACACCACCAACTATAAAGTAAACAAGAATTAGATTTGCTAAGAAGCAGAAAATGTGACTTTTTTTTTTTCATTTTTCTTTTATTATTCATATGTGCATACAAGGCTTGGTTTATTTCTCCCCCCTGCCCCCACCCCCTCCCTTACCACCCACTCCACCCCCTCCCGCTCCCCCCCTCAATACCCAGCAGAAACTATTTTGCCCTTATCTCTAATTTTGTTGTAGAGAGAGTATAAGCAATAATAGGAAGGAACAAGGGGTTTTGCTGGTTGAGATAAGGATAGCTATACAGGGCATTGACTCACATTGATTTCCTGTGCGTGGGTGTTACCTTCTAGGTTAATTCTTTTTAATCTAACCTTTTCTCTAGTTCCTGAAAAAAAAAGGCAGTCCAAAGAAATGTACCCAGATAATTGAATTGGCAGATAAACATTTTTTTGCCTATTTTTAAAAATTTGTTGTGCTGGGGGGTATGTTGTGGCATTTACAAAAGTTCTTACAATATATCAAATATATTTCAACAGGTCTCATTTTTCCATTTACATCCATGCGTACACAGTATTTGCACCATATTCACCCTGCTACACCTTTCCCCCACATCCTCCCCCTCCCGCTGGTACCAACTCCCCAAGACAGGACCTGTTCTGCCTTCCTATTCTCCAATTTTGTGAAAGAAAAGAAAATGACTTTTTTTTAAAGAGTGAGTTTTTATACAGTGAGTTTCCTTGTGACATTTCCATGTATATATGTATTATAACCTGAATTGGTTCATCTCCTTTCACCTTAGTCCCCTTCTTATGGTGATTTCAACAGTTGTAAAGGTTCTGTATGCATTCTTGTATAGGAAGTACATCAACCATACTCACCTTCTTAATTTCCTTTTTACCCTCTTTCTCTCATGTATGTGACCTCTGCTTAGTATGACCTATTTTTCATAGTATTGCTGTATTTGTATTAGGTCTATCTTCCACACATGAGAGAAAACATGCATTCTTTGGCTTTCTGAGCCTGGCTAACTTCACTTAAGATGTTGTTCTCCAGTTCCACTTACTTTGGAAATCAGGAAGGAGGGAGAGGAGCACCAAAAGAACAAAGAGGCCAAAATTTTTTTCCAAATTTGAAGAAATTGGATAAGCCAGAGTTTCAGATGTTTTAACAAACCCTCAATACATCAAAGAAGTCCACATCTGATCACATCCTAAGCAAGTTGCTGGAAAAATATCTTGAAAGCAGCCAGAGACAAAAGATACATTATATACTACACAGAGAGTGATAGTAAGCATAATTGCTGACTTCCAATCAGTAACAATGAAGGACAGAAGATTATAATGTAGTATCTATAAAGTGCAGAAAGAAAACGGTGACCTAGAAGACTATCCAACAAAATGTCTTTTATAAGAATGTTGATATGTAGACACCTTCAGGTGAAGGTTTTCAGAGATTGCAAATGGCAGAACCATACCTAGGAAAAAGTATCAAACAGAGAATGAAACCAGCCAGGAAGTTTGAGCTGTACAAAATAATGAAGTTTACCGCAAGTGGTAAGCTTTTAGTAGATACACATTTTTTTCTCTCAAATGTATAAAAAGGCAGTAGACTGTTAAAGCAAAAATAATGCATTATTGAGTTTTCATTAAAATATTTGATAATATGAAGGACAGAAAGGAGTAAAAGTATATTGTAGTAAGCCTTCCATTATATGTATGATG